GCAGTGAAATAATCCCCAGTGCAGTGGTCTTAAGAGGGGGGCCCTGAGGAAGTAATCAGGACCCCTCCTTATAAGGCATCAGTGCCTTTTAAAAGGGTTTAAGGGCATCTTTCCCTTTTGAGAACAACTGCTTGCTCTCCACAGAAGGCTCCATCTGTGAGGAGCAGCTCCTCCTCAGGCACTTATTCTGCCAGTACCTTTGAGAGAGGAGATCAGGGCACGGCAAAGCTGACTGGGGAAATAGGCGTGACCTGTCAACCACAAGATCCTGGACACGAGTGCAGAACAGTTCCCAAAGCCCTGCAATGTAGACTTTTTGTGAGAATTGCAGCAGGTTTTCAATAGTATACCTAGACCTGACATCAGCCTGAGACGGGGATCCCAGCACCGCCTCTTAGGACCCGGATACAGAAGTTCTCACAGGTTTCCTGGAGATATGGACAGAATAAAAGAAAGGCAGCCATGAGAAGCCGGTGCCACCCTAACTTTCCACGATATCACACATTGTGTTTTCCAGATGCTGTGTGTACATTTTGTTGTTGTTTTTTGAGGCAGGGTCTCCCTTTGTAGTTCAGGCTGGCACTGAACTCACTATGTAGCCCAGGCTGGTCTCAAAACTCTTGGCGATCCACCTCCCTCAGCCTCCAGAGTGCTGGGATAACAGGTATGTGCCACCACGCCCAGCAGCGTGTACTTTTTAATCTTTGCTTTTACCTTCTTTTTCTCTTTACTCTGCCCAAGTTCGCTCACAGTACCAGTTTCTCCCTTCTTAATTTCTGCTTTCTTGAATAAACTTTGCCACTGCTGTTTTGCTCATTTTGTTCAAGTCTCTGTTTGAGATGAGGAGAACCTGGAATCTAACTCCAGAAGGAGAGGTGAGCAACCTGAATCCAGTAACATTTAGTTGGAGACCCACTTTAGAAGCAGCTACACAATAACAACTTGATCTTGGATTTCCCAGCCTTCGAGACTATGAGACATAAATTTTTGTTTACAAATTACTTGTAATTGTACTAAGATTTTACTTTTATAGCAGCAGTACCTTTTTAAAAATTATTTCCTGTCATTTTGGAGGAATTCTGAGAAGGCAAAAGAAAAACCAATATATAAATGACTGTATTTGAAGTCTTCCACCATAAGCCTCCATCATTATTCCGTTGGTAAGTTTTGGTCTTGAATTTTGCACCATGCTTGCTCTCTGTCTCATCTCATGGTAAGTAGAAGACTCACATTGTCACATAAAAGCAGCATAAAAAAGCATTGTAAAAGTCACCTCTTCCATCCCACCCACACTCAGGCGCCTGTGGAAGGGCCTCTCCCCCAGGTCCCTGGCACCCACAGTCCCTTACTACTCCCAAAGGGACAAACCTCAGGACAGGAGGGGTTGTGCAGCCACACTCCTCAGGTTCAGATGCTGGGTGCTTTCTCGTTGTGAGACCTCAGCTGAGGCACTTCTCTGTGCTGTGCTTCTGCTGTAGCTTCAGTAGTGAGCACTGTCATGCCAGCTACAGCCTGCTCAATGAGCGACCAACTTGAGGATTCAGTTATTTATCTTCTACTAAGTGGTGGTTCTATCACATAAGTATGTGAAAGGGGTGATGTGTTCATTTGGTCTCTGCTGTTGATTTGGCTAGCTCCACTTTTATCTGGGGGTGGATTTTACAGCTATCTGCAGAAGCCATAGACTCCCCAACTCCCTGGACTTGAAAGCCCACCCAGTGCACACTCAGCTGCAGACTCAAGCACGGGGCATCCACCTGTCCCGGTCCAGCGGCCGTTCTGAGAAGGCAGTGGGGACAGGGGAGAAGGGTGGGGACTTTCGGCATCAGTGGCAGGACAGGGGAACTGTCTAGTGGACAGTGCTGCCTCTTTCCTGAGCTTAGGCAGGTAGCTTAACTGTCCAAGAATAATGTCAGCTGTAGGTAATCTTCATAAGTGTCCTTAATGGGATGGAAACTATCTCCTCCTGTTCCTAATTTGCGGAGTCTTAAATCATGAACCAAAGTTGAATTTTATCAAATGCCTTTTCTGTATGAGGACCATCTCCTTTATTTTATTAATATGGTAGATTAACTTTTTTTCTCAAGTCCTGGGGCTTGAACCAAGGAACTCACATGTGCTAGACAAGTGCTCTACCACTGAGCTACCTCCTCAGTACTTAAAAATTAAAAACAAAATTTTTTTTGAGACAGGGTCTTGCTAAATTGCATAGGCTGGGCTTGATCTGCCTGCCTCAGCCTCCGTGAGTGCTGGAATTACATACATGAGCTACACTTGCCTAGTAAGGTCTATTTTTTTTAAGGACTTTGTTGATTTCATCTAATGTATTGGTTTAAAGTTGTCTATAACATTCCTTTAATTCCTATCTTTCTATTCAGTCTGGAGATTGACCCAGGAAGTACTGAGTTACATTTCCAGCCTTTTTTATTTTGAGACAAAGTCTCATTAAGCCAGGATGGCCTTGAATTTGGGATCTTCCTGCCTCAGCTTCCCAAACAGCCAGAAACACAGATGCGAACTGCCATGCTGGGCTCTCATTACCCTTTTAATGTCTGTAAGACCTATAATAACATCCCTACTTCACTCCTAATAAAGGTAATCTAGGTTTTATCTTTTTCTTCTTACAATTTTGCTAGGGGTTTTCTCAATATCAAAGAACCAACTTTTGGCTTTGTTAGCTATTGTTATCTGTTTTCAATTATCATTGATTTTTGGTTTTATCTTTAATATTTTCTTTCTTTAAATTTAATATAGATTTTAATTTTTCATCTATTTTCTTTCTTTCAAATACATAGTTTTCTTCTCTTTTAAATTTAATTTTATTGATACACTTTAGATATAATGATCACATTCATCATAAGGAGTTTGTACCTATACATGATATATCTTGATTCTTTTTTCCCTCTTCCCCTCCCCTCCCTTCAACTCTCCTTCCCATTCTTATTTTAAAAAGCTTTGTTTCCAATTTTTTCCTTCCATTTTCTTTCTTTTCCCTTCCTTCCAAAATATATAAATGTTTAAAGCTACATAATTTAGAAAGTAAGTACAATTCAGATTTAGCCATTTACTAGTTCATTTCTCTGGGTTACTCAACCTTGAAGGAAGTTTCTAATTCTCAGGGAAAATTTTACAGGAGCTCAGTAAACACTCCCCATTAGGGGCCTATGCATAAAAATCTAAAGAATGATTGTAAGGATATAAACTCCAGTGTTCCTTGTTTTAACTCCCTGTTTCTTGCTGTAACTCTTGTTTTTCACTGCATTTCACACTGGGCATTTTGTGCTTGTTCTAAAGACACTTGAATGTTAAGAACCCTCAGTTCCTGCTTTGAAGGCTAAATTGTAATTACAGTGACTCACTCATCTGTACTTAAGCTTTTGGGTGTAAATGAAAGTTAAATGACTTCCCTTCATTTTAATGTTCTACATATACTAACAATATCACTAGATGAAATCTACTGCTAAGTATTTACATTAATTTAATGAGTCAGCTTTTTTTGAGATAGGGTCCAGATATGAAGCCCAGGCTGGCCTCAAACTCTTGACAGTCCTTCTGCTTCAGCACCATCACACCCAGCTTAATGAGTCTTTTTTTTTTGGTCACTGCTTATATTTTTATGCTTATCTTTAGAGAATTAATTCGTAACTTTTTAATAATTCATTTTAATTTCTGATTTTTGAAGACTGAATAGTACTGAATGTAGATTTTAAAAAATACTCTGGCTATTATAAAAAATTTCTATTATAAAATTCTTTTAAGAGTTCTTTATAAAAATAATAATTGTGCTATAAACATTTCAAGGTGGGGCATGGTGGAGCATGCCTGTAGTCCCAAATTTGGGCGGCTGAGGCAGGAAGATTGCTTTGAATTTGAGGCCAGACCAGGCTACATGCTGAGCTCAAGACCAAACTAGAGAATGTAGACTCTGTCTCAAAGAAGCAAATCAAAAGAAATTTTCAAACTCAATCCATCAAATTATTCCTAAATATAGGTAAAATCAAGTGTATGTTTGTATGTGTTAGAGAAGAGAGCAGAACATTTTTTCTAATTCATGTCTTCTCCCCCGCCCCGTGGTTCTGGGTACTGAATGCAGGACTTCATGCATGCTAGGCAGGTGCTCGTCATGGAGCTCCATGCCCAACCCTCACCATGAGACAAGGTCTTGCTATGTTGCCCAAGCTGATCTCAAGCCCTGAGACTGAGGAATTCTCCTGCACACTGGGACTCTAGGCACCTGCCTGGGCATCTGGCTCTAATTCATACAACACTGGTAACAAAGGCCTTCTCAAACCAGGTCTGCTGGTAGGAAAAAACCTAACACATTTAGTGTACAGTTAGTTTGGGGGAGAAGTCTTTTTATTTTTCATTGTATTGTTGCAGCGCCCAGGAACTCAACCCAGGGACTTGCACAAGGTAGGCGGGTGCTCTACCACTGAACTACATCCCAGCCCCTGGCTTTGGATATTTATGTGCCTAGTAGAAAGGGATTCCATTTCATTAGTCAAGAGATGATACAATTTGATGGAATGAAATGTGCATCCATACAGATGACTTTTGCTTGTACCAATGTTACCTTTTGAAAAAGCACAGTGCTGGGCATGGTGGCACATGCCTGTAAACCCAGCACTCTGGGAGGCTGAGGCAGGAGAATTCTAAGTTTGAGCCCAGCCTGGGAATTTAGCAACTTAGTGAGGCCTTGTCTCAAAATAAAAAAATTTTTAAAAGGCTGGGGGTATAGTTCAATGCAAAGGTCCAAAGTTCAATCCCCAATATTGTCAAACAAAATCAAACAAAAACACCCCCTGACCCACACACCAAAAAAAAGTAAAAAACAAACAAACCCAAAAACTCATATATTAGTTCAGTATCTCATTTTAAAAAAACAAACATTTGGGATAAGACAAATTTATACAATTGAACACTTTAGAACATATTGTTTCCTCACAGCGCCACACATTGGTATGTATGAATTATGTTAAAGTAACAAAAATCCTCTGAAAATCAGCACAGACTTCATTTATTTATTGTGTAAGTTTGGCAAACAGCACAAAAATCCAGCAACATTTTAAACATGTAAAAAAGTCAAATGTTAAACAGTACTGGGGATTATTTTAAAACATCATTAAAATAATGAGTACACACTTAAGATTCTGCAAAGCTAGCAAATCAAAGTGCCTGGCTTCTGAACAGATACCACAAAACTACACATTAAAAAAAAAACATACTTTATCTTTACAAAAATTACAGCCAAGCAATAGAAAAAAGGACATTAGATGAAGGAATGAGTACTCATGTTCACCACACAGACCTTACACATGGAAATGCTACATCTTGTACCCTGAAATGCCATGTGCAGAGAGCCACACAGACGGAACCAGGCTCGCCACTGAGGTTAAGAATATCTGCGAATCAGTAATGCTCAATTAAAACTTTCTCTACAGCAGTTCTTAGATCCTAACCATATACTCCACCTTGAATCTGAGAAACTTTCTGTATAGCAGTTCCTAGGTCTTCACAATGTGTTCCACCCTATGTCTGAGAAGCTAAGACTTCTTTGTTGGCAGTATAAAATTTCTGACCAGTATCAAAATTCTGATAAAACACAAACTGAAGAAAGGCATTTTCTAGTGTATATGGATGTGACAGGGGGCATCAATGAGTGTGGAAGAAACTCTTAAGATTTTACAATAAATTTCTGCTGAGCTTTGTTAAACCAAATAGCTCAACTATAAGGCAAGAGAAAATAACCCCCTCTAACTCATTAGTGGGTCTCACCAAGTAAATACAGGAATTCAACCTTAGGGAAAAAATCTCTATGTGAACTGATCTGAAACAGCTGACATCGAAAGAAGCATCTAGAAATTAACATGTTGATATTCAGTCATTGGTTCAGAAGCCCAACGAACAATCTATTGGTTTATATTATTAATTAACGTTTGGAATCAGCACCAGTCCCCAAAACCTCAAATTATAATATGTAATCTTCATTAAATACATCCTTTTTGTGCTATATAAACACAACTGTAATCAAGTTTAAAAAAGCTGAATTTATTCAACTTATTGTATATTGTTGTGATACTGGGTAGCAACTTAAATTCACTGACTTGTGCTTCTGTTTTGGGGCACTTTGATTGAAGAGAAATTCGTTTCACAGGCTCACATCTTGCTAAAGCATTCCTTAGCATTGGTCCAAACTTGAATTCCCTAAAAACAAAAGTAATTTTAAAAAACTCAATTCTGGAAGGATTCTGAAAACCCAAGTATTTGGGTTAGCAATATACAGTACTTAGTTTTGCTTTGTGATATAATCAACAAATCCAGTAAATATGACATTATATTAGAAAATGGTTAATATAAGCAAATGTCTAATGCTTCTAAAAGAAGGGGGGAATGTCTTGAATAAATTTATCTTCAAAATGTAGGAAGAATTTGTAAACTGAGTTTTCAAGATTCACATCATAAACCCATTTACTCGTATCATTTCTGTTTGTAAACCATCAAGTTTTCAGGCAGTTTTTTTTTTCAATGTAATATGTGAAACAAATCAAAAAACTTTATTGGTTCAACATACAGAGTTAATGACCGTGTGTGTGTGTGTGTGTGTGTGTGTGTGTGTGTGTGTGTGTGTGTGTGTGTGTGTGTGTGTGTGTGTGTGTGTGTGTGTGTTGCTGAGGCGCGAGCCCTGCCCCCCACACGTTGCTAGGCAACGCCCGCTCTGCTGCTGAGCCACAGCCCCAGCCCCAGCCCTGAAGTTTGACAAAACTAATTCTGCACCGAAAGCCCGAGCCCCTCTCACTGGTCCTGGCAGTCTATTTAGTAAAAAGTTCCAGATGCCCTAACACACATGAACAAGAAGGCATGACTGTAAAGATGTAACAGGTAAAGACTAGGCAAGGGGTAAAAATTAAGCTTTTTCAATAAACAAAATACATATTATTTAACAACTGCTATCTTACGAGAAAGGAACTTTTAATACTTAAGCATTAAGGTGTATTATTAATATTTTCTGAGGCTTGAGACAACAGAAAATATATCAAGAATCTTTTCAGTTTCCTTCCTCCCTGATGGAATACAGAAGACAGTTAAAGAAATAAAAACTAAAAATCCTTTCCATGTCTCAGACTGGCTAGACGGGATAAGATGGATCTCGTGCACCTTCAAGTATGATGCCCTGACACAGAGAATGGAGGAGCACAGAACACATCCTAGTGTATATGATGCGGTCCTGTTCTGCAGGGAGGAAAGTGTACTTTCCATGTGACTGCAGGACGAAACACCTCGCAGCAAGCCAAGAAGGTGTGCCGGGGGAGAGATGAGCAAGGGATTCTGGGGAGGAGGGGAGAACTTTTCCCTAATATGCTTCTGAATTGCTTTGCTTGCTTTCTTGTGGTACTGGAGAGTGAACCCAGGGCCTGCGCAATGCCAGGCAAGTGGTCTAACACTGAGTTACATCACAAAACCTCTATTTCACTTTGATAATTTTGAGACAGGGTCTTGCTAGTGCTCAACTTGTGATCCTCCTACCTCAGCCTTGAATTATTTCAAATTTCTGCAATGAGCATATGCATTATTTTTATAATAATTAAAATTTTAAATTGACAAAGATGAAATAATTGGAAAACCAATTAAGTATTTTTAATTTTTTTTTTCTTTTTGTACTGGGGATTGAACTCAGGATCTTGCACTTGCAAGGCAAGCACCAGAACCACTAAGCTACATCCCCAGCCCCCCAATTAAGTAGTTTTAAAAGCTTCAGCCTACTGGATTCAATATATCAGACAATTCATTATCAAAAAGGTTGCCCAGAAAACAGCAGTGTTATTTATTCACTTATTTAGGTATTGAGGGTGAGCCTTCACACTGAGCTACATCTTATTCCTTTTTACTTTTGAGACAGGGTTTTGGTAAATTGCAACACTGCCCTGACTAGGCTCTAAATTTAGATCCTCCTGCCTCAGCCTCCCAGAGCACTGGGATTATGTGTGTACCACCCTGTGTGGCTACTATTTACTTTTAAAATACTTTGTTACTACTAAGGGTGGGCCACCATGCAAGAGAGTACACAGTGACCTGTTTGTTTGTGTATTTTTTGAGACAGAGTCTCACTTAAATTTAGTGCAGGCTGGCCTTGAACTCACTAGGTAGCCCAGGCTGGCCTCAAATTTGTGGGATCCCCCTGCCTCTCTCCCCAGTGCTGGGATTGCAGGCATGCAAGCATTATTTATCTGAAAGTTTTTATTTTGGTTTAATATTACTGCAATTTAGTAAACAGATTATATTCAAGTAACACCTGGATTATAGTTAATATTTGAAGTAGATATTATAATGAAGCTGATATATTTTAAGTTATATAAGTAACATACACAAACTATAGACACTCATTTATCCAAGAAAAACCAATGTTAATCTTGACTTCTAACACTTAATTTGAAGTTTCTAAAGAAAAGACCACTGTCAATTTTCAAATATAAAAATCTATTGCACTAGGCAAAAAATCAAACATGATGAAATTTTATAATATCATTCTTTGGAAATAAGGGGAACACACACTCTTATTAAACTCCTGTTTCTTCCAGTTCCTTTCTTAGGACATGTGAGGCAGACATAATGTGTTCGAATACCCCTTAAGTGGCAACCCATTCCAACATTAAATTTCAGCACCCTGAACTGCCCCACCCTATTCAAAGTGAGGGGAAAAAGAGGATTTTTCACTGTTACACAAAGGTCCGTCTGACTTCAGGGAGTGAACAGGACATCATTAGGAGTTTGCTAATGAGCCTTTATAGTACAGACAAAACTGAAAAAAAAAAAAAAAAAAGAACCAATGCTACCAATGCTAAAAGCCTTTGTTATCTGACCTTTCAGACCTCTGGGCTTCAACAGGGCCAATCAGAAAGAGGCCCAGCAGCTGGCACAGAGAAGGAGCCCACAGGCCACGGCACAGGGACTGAAGCACCACAGAACCTTGAGGCCCTGAGGCTACACCACTACAGGTTTACCAGTAATGAAAAGACCGGAAGAGTCACAATACGAGTCTCTCAGACACAGACACCACTCTAACCCAAGCAGAGAGGAGCCCACTTACTTAACTGGTGAGCCGGACAAATGTCTATGCTGCAGCTGCTGCAGGGGATACCAGAGAAAAGTTTAAGAAAAGTGATGTCTCTTAGCCAAAAAATAAAGCTTGTGGCTAAATTACAGCACAGGAATTGTATGTTTATATGAGTGTGATGTTCCCCCCTCTAAAGTCTTCAGAAATATGGAAATTCCTTTTTGTTGAAATAAGGAAATTCTTACTCCTATGATTCTGAGAGAATGAAGGTTACGTCATTTGATAAATTACGACTTGCTGGACACACACACAGTACGGGGTTGTGGGGTGTGGCTTGATGGCAGAGCACTGGCCTAGCACCTGTGAGGAGGTCCTAGGCTTAATCCTAGTAATGGGAAAAAGAAAACAGCATTGCTACTGGTAGTGGTAGTTAATGTGGACAGATCTTAGGTTATGAAAAAGAAGTTAAGGAATGCTTCTGAGTTTCTTCATGGAACAGAACTTCAGAAAGGTTTCACTTACTGTCAAAATACTTATTTTAACCAGAAAAAGCCTCAGCGTTCAGGTTTTTTGCTATGGGAATCAGCTACATGAAAGATTTACTTTGCCACCATTCATACCATGTCCCCACTTTCCCAAATAACAGTTAACCCATTTTCCAACCAAAGTATCCCTCGTTATTGGACATGGTATTGTACTGCCCTGCCCAAGAACACCATGTAATGAAAGCATGCTGCTGGCATGTATTCTGAAGTAAATTATAAATGGGGCACAAAAGTTGGGACTTTAGGTGAGTGCTGACAGTGACTGACATTTTGATGACAACACTTCACACTTCTCTCAGTATTAAGCAGAGAAATTAGGAAAAATTCTAGAAGGAAACCATGAAAATGAAAATGTATTTGGTTCAAGTAAGAGAATTCACATGACTGTGTAAGCACTTTGTGAGCATTAGGTGTCTTCCCTGGAAGCGAGCCTACCTTTTTGCACATACTGATCTGCATGACCGCATAGCTTATGAGGGCCTCCTTTAAGTCATGGTTCTTTTGTTCTTTGAAGCGTTCAATATCAGCCCAAGCATTTTTCACAAATTCTCTGAAATACAAGGTATAATCATTATTCTTATTTAAATTATGTGGACCATACATTATAAATTCAACGAACAAGTTACTGAGCTTATTTCTGTCTATAGAGAAAGAAAAGCTATTCTTTATTTTCTTTCTTCTTTCCCTAAAAATTATGAGGGAAAAAGCAGATATAGTTACATATCCTCCCATTTTAGTAATCTATATTTTTGTCACAAATTATTTTTCATTTAAAACAGATACAACTGGTTCCTTGAACCAGCTCCCAAGTTGTACAGAAGGCACAGTGAAGTGCCTTCCTGGCGACATGGGAACAATCCACTCTTGACAAGACAAATTATGAATCACACTGCGCATGCACATGGTTCACATGACCACTAGGCTCTGGAGGACGGTGCTTGGGAGGCTGATGTGGGACGACCGTTTGAGTCCAGGAGTTTGAGACACACTCAGACAATATACTGTATACCCATTTAAAAAAAAAGTTCCCATATATGGTTTTCTTTTTAATTCTACTCATGAAAGTTTACTTTGACTTATTTGGTGCCAGCAGTTCTAGAAATTAGCAAAGCCACTTCAAACCCACTGATATACTATGGGTCTGCACTAGGTCACTAGTTTTCATACTGACTGTCGGACGAAAACAAAAAGAAAATGAGCCAAATGAGACAGCACATCTCTGAGAACTGAGTTTCTAGAAACACTGACAGAACAATCAGCTTCCCAATACAAAACTACATTTATGGTGGGATAAATCAGGTGCTCTGATGGTCGGTGGAAACAAGGGACAACTTCACGGTGGCGTAACCAGTCAACAGAGCACTGAAGGATGATCAGGCTTGTTGGGTTAAGTGGGGGAGAAAAAAGGGAGAGAGAATGTGCAAAGAATAGAAATCACGAAAAGTGCCTGAGAATAGCAACTTGAAAACCCCACCCCTGCTTCCTCTTTCCCTACACCACATCAGCTATTCCTATAACATAACTTTTGTTAACTCAGATGTGTTAGGAATGCAATGCCTGCATTTTAGAGGAACAGGATGTATCCAAGGATGCTCACGAGGATGCGAATTTCTACTAAAAACACATTATCTGTCACATACCCTACACATCCAGCTTTGTCCAACAGCTCAGTATGTTTACCTGCCTTCCAGATTTTTAGACTTTAGCTGTTGTTCCCCTTCACTGATTTGTTCTTCTAGCACCTTTATTCTGGCTTCTCTCTGCTCTGGGGCTTCTTGACCAAAGAGCTTGGTGGTCATTCCCTTCAAGGAGAATGTCCTCACAGTCTAAAACGAAACAGAAATGCATGAATGGATGACAAAGCACTATCTACACACCACAAACTGCTACTCAGCCCTAGAAAGGAAGCCACTCCGACACCTGCTGCAACATGGGTGAAACCTGAGGATGCTCACACCGGCAGACACCGCATGACTCCACGCCAGTGAGGGACCGAGCAGTCAGAATCAGAGGCAGGAGACCAGATGACGGTTCCCAGGGCTGGGGAGGGCAGGGTGGAGCTGTTCGGGAACAGCTACAGAGCTCATTTTCGCAGGATGAAGGGTTCTGGAGGTGGCCACAAAGCAGTGTGAATGCACAGAACATCACTGAACTGTGAGCTTGCAGTGGTCAGACAGTAAACTTGATGTTATGTGTATTTCACACACATACGCACCCCTGGGAATGGAAGCACTGGCCACTTTCCCTGATCTCAGACAAAAGTAACAGCCAGCCAGGGGAATGAGAATATGATTTCTTTTCATTCTTTCTTTTTTTTTCTGACAGGGTCTCACTCTGTAGCCCAGGCTGGCCTTGAACTTGTGGCCATCCTCTTACCTCAGCCTCCCAAGTGCTGGGATTACAGGCCTGCGCCACCACATCTGGCTTTTAATACAGAATAGTCAAAAGGGGGAAAATTCTAACTGAATTTCTTAATCAACTGGAAAATTTCCATGTGAAATATTAGACCAATTATTTCTTATTTATATTAGTGGTCATATTTTTTTTTTTTGGTACTGGGGATCGAACTCGGGTCCTTGCGCTTGCGCAGCAGGTGGCGAAACCACTGAGCTAAATCCCCAGCCCAGTGGTCATATTTTTAAAAATTACTGACATAGAAGGTAAAATTTAACAGACAACTATGTAAATAAACCAAACCTAAGGAGCATATTTAAAATCTGCATAACTCACAATGCCACACGATGTCTCTCAGTAAAGCAGGCAAGCCCTGCAGGGCAGCCCCCAAGGCGGGTTTCTCACTCCCTAGAGCTCTCTTCAAGTGTAGGAGTGGTCACCCAAGTGCCCTGAAAATGGCCTGGGGACGTCCAGAGCTTCAGGAATAAATCGAAGGCCTGGTCTGTAAACAGCTCACAGCAGGGGTCTCTTCTCACAGAAATCTATGACTGGTCATAGATCAGCAAGTGGTAATCTGTGTGAAAAGCACTTTTAACCCTAAACTACTTGATAACTAGGAAGTGATGGCTAAACAGCAACACTTGCTGCTTTGTTGCCTCCAGAATACGTCCCTCACTGTGGCAGTGAATGAATTCCAACGACTACAAAAAAACGACCTGAGCCAGGTGTGGTGGCACACGACTGTAATCCTAGCACTGGGGAGGCTGAGGCAGGAGGATCAATGAGTTTGTGGCCAACCTGAGCTACATCATGGTCCAAGGCTAGGCTGAACTACATAGCGAGGCCCTGTTTCAAAAAACCAAACCAAACCAACTACCTGCCTATGCAATTAGATATGGAACTTTTTCACAGGGCTCCCTGTAAATATTAGAGAATAAAGTACACAAAGAGCTCCTGGTTAGGAGATGAGATTCTAAGTGGGGAAGCCTTTTTGAAGTAAACAAATTTAAAAATTTGTCAAATTAACCCTGAGACACTCTTGTAATACCATGTAGACTATAGTTCTGACGGCCAGTATCTACCTCTCCTATCCTAAGGCCTCACAGAGCTATAGCTCCAAGTAGATTTTATTTTTTGTTTGAGACAGTGTCTCACTAAATCACCCTGGCTGGGCTCAAATCCTCCCGCCTCAGCCTCCCAGAGTGTTGGGATTACAGGTGTGTGACTCCACGCCTGCTTTGCTGTTATCTTTTTATATCAGGACACCAAAGCATTCTGAAGTCCCTCCTACGTTATTCTCCAGCATAAGGTTCAGGCATCCTGTGCACTGTAACTGCAGCCTTGTCATCACAAGAGACCTAGGGATGAACACTCACCCCCGTGGCCAGCTCCTCACACTGCTGCTTCTTGGAAGCGAGATCCTGAACAGCCATCTCCAAGTCGTACTGCATAAGTTCATGCTTTCTGCACACAGCCCTGGGGAGGAAAGCAGACTGCCATGTAGCTTTCCTGGCTCAGCCTTTAGCATAGTAAGAAACCTTTCTCAGGGGGAAGACGGAGGCATTCACAATGTCTTCTAGGCCCTGAACTTGTATGTCCAGAATTTTCTTTTTCTTTTTAAAAAATTTTTGGTGCTGAGGATTGAACCTGGGATCTTGCACTCTACCACTGAGCTAAATCCCCAACCCCATCCAGAAATTTCAAATTTATTTATTTATTTATTTATTTAATTTTTTTTTTTTTGAGACAGGGTCTCACTATGTAGTTCAGACTGGCCTTTAACTATGTAGCCCAGGCTGACCTCCAACTCACAGCAATCTTCCTGCTCAGCCTCCTGTGTGCTGGGATTACAGGTGTGCACCACCACACCCAGCCAAAAATTTTCAAATTTAAACTGTAGTAGCCAAACATTAAAAATAAAATCTAGTAGAACTTAAGCATAAAAACTTTACATATACGTAAACAAAAGATTATTTGTGTTTTTTCCAGTAAATATACCATTATCACATATTTAAGTGTTTTTTTTTTTTGGTATGGGGGATCGAACTCCGGACCTTGCACTTGCAAAGCAGGCGGCAGAACCACTGAGCTAAATCCCTGGCCCAAGTTTTTGTTTTTTTAATATAAGAACTGATGTTACCATTTCAGGTGGCAACGGAGTATTCTTTCAAAGTATCTCAGAGTTGTGCTCCTTTTTAAAAGAAATGTCCAGTTGGGCATGGTGGTACACATGTGTAATCCTAGCACTTGGAAGGCTGAGGCAGGAGGATCACTGTGAAGTCGAGGCCAGCCTTGGCTACACAGTATAGTGAATTCAAGGCCAGCCTGAACTACACAGCGAGACCCTGTCTCAACCACCTCCCTCAAAAATAAAAAGAAATATCTATCAGTTTTTATTATCACAAAAGCCATGCTTGGTGTAAAAAAAGATCCTAACACAGAAATGTACAAAATTAAAAAAGGAAGTAGTATCAGGGACCCTCTTGATATTATTTGTGCTATCCAGGCACAACCCATGTTATAGGCAGTGTATATCCTTCTAGCATTCAGCTGGGCATTTATAGATAAACATGCCCACACATCCCAAACGTTTCTGAGTACTTCTCAGTTAGCTGTGTACTATGGGCATCTTTTCAGATTAATACACATTAGTCATTTTTATTATTTTTACATGTACAGAATTCTACTGTATTCAGAAACTTTTTTTTCCTTGGTTATTTGAAACTATCTTGGTGAGACTTTCTACACTCAAAGCACTAGAAGAAAAAAAGTAATAATATGCAGATGTTTTCCCAACGGTTATGGAAAAGCTTGAGGACATTACTCTTCAGTTTTCCTAACAGTATCCTTTCATGTGACAGGAAATCAGACCAAAAACTACCTGTGCCAGAAAAATGACTCATTTTTCAAAATTAAATAGAAAAAAAACACAGCAACTTTTTTTTTAATCGAATAGGGTTAACAGATAATTCTGTTTGGCTTCATGGGGAATACTACCATTAAAATAGAAGAAAAGTTCTTAATGTTAAAAAATTTTACAACCTGCTGAGAAGGCATACAAATGTGGGAAAAATTATAGAACAAAATGGCAACATGCAATTCATTTAAAAAGGATCTTACAATATCTTTATTTTACAGAAGCATATGAGACGCTGAGGATCAGCCAGAGGGCTGCATCCACAACATTTTATTACTACTCACCGTAGTGCTTCTGCATAGAAAAGATACTCCTTTAACTGATCTGCATAATGTTCTTCATCTTCTAAAATATCATCAATAGAAGAAGCATACCTGTTTAAAAAACACTGCATTAACAGAGCAACTTTCACTGGGACAGAAAGCACTCACATCCTAAGAAAGTGCTGTTCAGAGTTTGGGCCACAGACCATCTGCTATCTGTCAATGACATGAGAAAGGTGACTATTGGCATTTACAAACATTGATGGAAATCTGAAATGATGCAGATTATACTGAATTTCACCAAGTACAATGGCCTAGAAATAAAAAAAAGTTTGAATAAATTGTATCATTGGAATCTTTTATTGAAAGATATTATGCAAGGGCTATAAAACCTATGAAAGGATGTGTTTGGTGTAACTGGTGCACACACATCCTTGGTAGTAACTAGTTATAATAACACCAAAAAGCTACAAAGGGAAAAATAAAAAAATAAAAATTACAGGAAATTCCTGGAGACTTCCTTTGTACTGATTCTGTACAGCAGGCTCGTCCTGCAACAAAGACAAGCTCCTCACTGCTGTGTGGCCACCACTCCTGTACCAAGCTCTCCTCCAAATCCTGCGAGCACACAGCTCAACTCTCCGTGCCACCTCCCTCAATTCCTGGAATCTCTGTCACTCTACTGTGGATCTCGATCAACAATTCAGAACTTTATCAAAGGAATGTCTTGTGGGCTGATTTTACTGGTCACACTGTAAATTCTGCATGGATGAGGGGCCACATGTTCATGTTACTGGATCATACAGGAGTTCATCTTTCCTTCAAATTAATTCTGATTCCTTAGCAAGGAGATAAAAAATACATTTATATCTTCAGGCCTGTTTCAACTAGACAAGTAAACAAAGTTTACCGAAGCTATAAAATTAAATATACACAACTATGGTAAGGTTTATTTGGAAAGCAATGTGCTTACAGGATTTATAAAAGCAGGCAAAGTACATAATCTATAATTACAAATTTACACCTACTACTGAAATTTCATCCACATGACTGAAAAGAATCAACACTCTACAAAACAGTAAAAGCAAAATCTGCCTTAGTTCATAAATCTATGTCTCCAGGAAAGTTATTGTTAAGAAAACAAACAAAAACAGCCACAGGGCCGGTGGCTCGAAGACAGGAAACACAACATAGGGCCAAACTGGCACATCTGAAGAGAAGCATCAAATGTAGAGAACTATCAGTGGCAAAGATTTGTAGATGTCAGTAATGAGAATAATTTATTAACAGTTTAATAAATCAACTAGAAAGATAATCCTGAATTCGCTCTCATTTTTTTTGGTACTGGGGATCGAACTCGGGACCTTGTGCTTATGAAGCAGGCCCTGGAACCACTGAGCTAAATCCCTGGCCCTTGATCCTGAATTCTTGCACACACTGAAATGCTAAATCAAGAGAGCAACACTTATGGTTAAAGAAACTGAATGAAAAAGCAGCCAGTTAATTTGAATATGGCCTAAAGAAAATATTTAGATAAAACATTTTTTCACCCCTCCCCAGAGTTTAAGGTATAAATGACAAATAAAATTAGCATACACTGGCAGTGTACAATGTAATGTTTTGATATATGTACACACCATGACATAATTAATTCAAGTTAATTAACATATCGCTCACTTGACATACTAATTTTTTTATGTGAAGGGACTATTTAAAATCTATTTTTAGGGGGCCGGCGATTTAGCTCAGTGGTTTCGCTGCCTACTGCATAAGCCACAAGGACCCAAGTTCGATCCCCGGTACAAAAAAAAAAAAAAAAAAATCTATTTTTTTCTTTTTATTAAGGAGTTGTAGGAGTTCTTTATATATTATGGTTAGAAATGTTTGCTACTAGTCTGTGGTTCGCCTCTTTACTATCTTCACATTTCCTTTTTTTTGGCAGAAAACACACAATCCAAAATTTATCTTTGTAACAGATAAAATTTATCTTTGTGATTTTTAAGTGTGCAGCTCTGTGGCATTAAACACATTCACACTGCCATGGAGCCATCACTACTAACAATCTCTGGAAGAAGTTCTCGCCTTCTCCAACTGAAGCTTTGTACTCCATTTCACATTAACCTTCCATTCTTCCTGCCCCCATGCTATCTCTTGATAACTATCAATTTTAAATTTTGATCAGGATCAATTTACCAGTATTTTCTGTTTATGTCCTTTTAAAGAAATCTTTGCTTCATATCACAGCGATGTATGCACACACATGTTTCTAGCAGCACAGTTTGTAACAGTTAAATCTTGGAAACAGCCCAAATGCCTTCCAACTGATGACTGGATAAAGATGTGTTTTTTTAAATAATGGAGTACTACTCTGCCATAAAGAAGGATGAGCTTCAGACATTTATAGCTAAATGGATGGACCTTGAGACCATACTCTTAAGTGAAATAAATTGGACACATATGTTTAAATACCACATTGTTTCTCTGGTGTGAGAAACTGAAAATGGAAATAAGGACTGAGATGTATAATGGATGCTGGGAGATGGGAAGAAAGTGCTTAAATGGGAAGGGGAACAAGGGAGGAGGGAGGGAGAAAGGAAGGGACAAGAAAAAAGTGAAAATAGAAGGGAAAAAATGGAAACAAAGGTTTTGTACATAGGGAGGGGAGGGGGCTTGAGGGGGGAATGGGATAAAATGAAATTTATTTTTAAAAAATAAGCCAAAAAAAATAACGAAAACAAAACCAAAAGAAGTCTTTGCTTACTCGAAGATTACAACAGTATTCTCCTGTCTTTCATTAAAAGCTCTATATTCAGCTTTTATACTTATGTATGAGACCTAAATTGAATTACTGTTCTTTTGTGTAAAGTGTGAGATATAGCTCAAAGTGTCTCCACCACGTAGAGACCCAGTTCTTCAAGCATTATTTGGTTTTTTTTGTTTTGTTTCCTTGGTTTTTTTTTTTTTTTTGGTACCGGGGATCAAATTCTGGTCCTTGTGCTTGGGAGGCAGTTAGCAGAACCACTGAGCTAAATTCCTGGCCCCAAGCACTATTTGTTGATAGGACTATAGAAGCATGGATCTAATTCTGGACCACTGATCTGCTGTTTACTTTCACTATCTTTATAACCATAACTTTATAGTCAATCTTGAAAGCAGGCAATAAATTCCAGCCTTGTTCTTTGTCCAAATTGTTTTTGCTATTCTAGGTCTTTTGAATTTCTGTACAAATTTTAGAATCAGCTCATTAACTTCTATAAATGCCAACAGAATTTAACAGACTGCAATTGGAGAAGAATGAGCATCTTAAAACTGCGTATTCCAATCAATGAACGTGGTTTATCTCCATTTATTTAGGTTTCCTTTAGTTTTTCTCAGCAATGTTTTATATAGTTTTTTCAGTGTAGAGGTCTTCTAACATCTTCATTAAATTAATCCCCATTATGTTTTGATGCTATTGTAAACAGTATTGTTTTAAATATTTTATTTTCTAATTGATTTTAGTATGTAAAAATTATTGATTATTATATAGTGATCTAATATCTTGAATTCTTTTTTTTTAGACAGGGTCTTGCTATGTAGTTCAAGCTGGCCTTGAACTCATGGCTCCTCCTGCTTCAGCCTCCCAAGTGCTAGGATGACAGGCATGCAGCACCACGCCTGGCTTGATATTCCGAATTCTTGCTAAATTCAATTTTTAGTTCTGTAAGATTTTTGGTTAATTCACTATGATTTTTTTGTAAAAGACTTTGTTGACTGCAAATAAAGATGGTTTTTCTTCCTTTCTAGTATTTATGCTTGTTAATTTTCTTGCCTCATTTCACTAGACTTGGCAGTGCAATGTTTACTAGAAGCGCCATGAACAGACAACCTTGCCTTTCTTGACCTTAGGAAAAAGTATCTCTATTTCACTATTAAACATAACCTAGCTACCTACTATCTATCTTTCCCTCCCTCCTTCCTCACCTCTCCTTTCTTTTCTCCTTTCCTTCCTTTCCAGCCAGGGTCTGGATGTCTGTTTTTTTGGTTGTTGTTGTTTTTTTGGGTTTTTTTTTTGGTACCAGGGATTGAACTTGGGTCCTTGTGCTTGTGAGGCAGGCGGCAGGACCACTGAGCTAAATCCCCGGCCCTGGTTGTTGTTGTTGTTTATGAAAAAAAATTGCTTTATTTTAGATATATATATCGATAACATTCATCAGAGAATCTGTAACTGTACATGATATATCTTGCTTCCTTTTTTCCCATTCCTCCCATACCCTACTTCCCCTCCTTATATAAACAAACTTTGTTTCCATTTTATCCATTTTCTCTTTTTTTATTCCTTCTTTCCTTTCCCCCACCTCTTTCCTTGTTCCCTTTCTCATCTGAATATTTTCTTTCCATTTCTCAATATCTATTATACATGTAGTCCTTATTTCCACTTTCAGTTTCTCACACCAGAGAAACTATGCGGTATTTAAACATGTGTGTCTTATTTCACTTAAAAGTATGGTCTCAATGTCCATCCATTTAGCTATAAATGCCTGAAGCTTATCCTCCACTGTCTATAAAAAAAAAAACAACAACACATCTTTTTCCATTTGTCAGTTGATGGGCACGTGGACCGTTTCCAATATTTAGCTATTACAAACTGTGCTGCTATAAACGTGAGTGTGCACATATTGCCGTGGTATGATGCTTTTAATTCTTTCGGGAAGATATCAAGAAGTGGAATAGTTACGTTAAACAGAACCTCTAGTTTTAGTTTTTTGAGGAATCTCCACAATGATTTCCACAGTAGTTCCACTAGTCTACACTCCCACCAACAGTGGAGCATGGTTCCTTTCTCCCCACAGCCCCTCGAGCATTTGTTATTGGATGATTTCTTGATAGCAGCCATTCTTTTGGGAGTGAGATGGAATCTCAGTGTTGTTTTCATTTGCATCTCTCGAATGACCAGTGATAACTGAATATTTTTTCATATATGTATTTGATGTTTCTACTTCTTCTTCTGAGAAGTGTCTATTCATTTCAGATATCCATTTTTGAACTGGGTCTTTAAATTTGGGGGGTTGATTTTTTTTAGTTCTTTATACATTCTAGATAGTCCTTTGTCTGATAAATTGCTGGCAAAAACATTTTCCCACATTGTGGGTTATCTCTTCACTTTGTTGGTGGTTTCTTTTGCTGTGCAAACACTTTTTAATAAGATGAGATGCCAGTTGTTGATTCTTTGCAATAGTTCCTGTGTGATCTAGGTTTTGTTCATAAGGTCTTTGCTTACAACAATGTCTTTGAGAGTTTTACCCAGTCTATCGTCCAGCAGATTTAGTGTTTCTGTTTTAATATTTAGATCTTGGATCCATTTGGATTTTAGTTTAGTAAATGGTGAAAGATAGGGGCCTAGTTTTAATCTTTGGCAAGTGGAAACCCAGTTTTTCCAGCACCATTTTTTTTGTTGTTGTTAAATTCTTTTATTGGTACATTTTAGGTATACAACACAATTACATTTCTCATTGGGAACTGTACCTTTACATAATGCATCTTGGTTCTTATTTTTTCCCCATTCCTAGCCCTCCCTTCATGCCCTCCACCCTTCTCTATTTACAAAGACTTTATTTCCATTTTTTCCATTTCTCAGCATTTTTCCTTTCCCTTCTTTCCTTTCCCCTGCCCCTCCCACTACCCTTACCCCTTTGGACCTTTTCTTCCTATTTTGCATTATTGATTATTCATTCTAATCATTGGTACATTTTAGGTATACAATATAATGACATTCATCATTGGAAATTTGCGTCTTTACATAGTCTCTCTTGGTTCTTATTTTTCACCCTTGCCCAGCCCTCCCTTCAGCCCTTCCATTCCTCCCTATTTACAAAGATTTTGTTCCTATTTTTCTATTTTCTCACATTAATCCCATTCCCTTCTATCCTTTCCCCTAGCCCTCCCTCTTCCTTCCCCTTTGCCCCTTTTCTTCCTATTTCACACGACCTATTATACATTTTAGTCCTTATTTACACTTTCAGTTTCTCACACCAGAGAAACTATGCGGTATTTAAATTTATACATGTGTGTCCTATTTATTTCACTTAAGAGTATCACCTCAATGTGCATTCACTTAGCTATAAATGTCTCTAACTTCTCATTTTTTATGGGTGAGTAGTACTCCATTTTATTTTAAAAACCCACATTTTCTTTATCCAGTCTCCAGTTGATGGGCATTTGGGCTGTTTCCAAGTTTTAGCTATCACAAACTGTGTCCAGCACCATTTATTAAAGAGGCTGTCTTTCTTCCAGTGAAGATGTTTGGCTCCTTTGTCAAAGATAAGGTGGCTATGTCTGGAGTTGTTTATGCATCATCCAATCTGTTCCATTAATCTTTGGATCTGTTTTCTTTGGCAGTACCATGCTGTTTTTATCATAGTAGCTTTGAGTATAATTACAAGTTGGGGATTGTGATGCCCCTTGCCTTGCCTTGCCTTTGTTGCCAGAATTACCTTTGCTATTCTAGGTCTCCTCTGGTTCCAAATGAATTTTAGGATTGTTTTCTCTAATTCTGCGAGATATGGTATCAGAATTCTGATTGGATTTGCATTAAATCTGTGTAACAATTTTGGAAGTATGGCCATTTTCACTATATTGGTTCTTCCTACCCAAGAACAAGGGATATCTTTCCATTTTCTGATATCCTCTTCGGTCTTTTTTTTTTTTTTCAAGAGTACTGTAATTTTCAATGTAGAGGTCTTTTACTTCCTTCATTAGATTGATTCCTAGGTATTTCATTTTTTTGGATGTTATTGTGAAAGGTGTTGGTTCCCTAATATCTCCCTCAGTGAGTTTGTTATTTGTGTACAGGAAGTCTATCGAGTTTTGAGTGTTCAATTTGTATCCAGCTATGCTACTTAATGTGGTTATTAAATCTAAGAGTCTTTGGGTGGAGTTTTTGGGGTCTTCTATGTAGAGTATCATGTCATCCTCAAATAATGATAATTTAACTTCTTCCTTTCCTTTTCTTATCTAACTGCTCTGGCTAATGTTTCCACAACTATATTGAATAGGAGTGGTGATCGTGAACATCCTTGTCTTGTTCCTAATTTTAGAGTGAAAGCTTTCAATTTTTGTCCATTTAGTATGATGTTGGCTGTTGGTTCATCATAGATGGCTTTTATCAGATTGAGATGAAGATGATCTATTCCAATTTTCTGTAGGGTTTTTAATCATGAATGAGTGTTGAACCTTTTCAAATACTTTTTCTGCATCTATTCAGATGATATGGTTTTCATTCTTGGCTCTGTTAATATAGTGTATTACATTTATTGATTTGCTTATGTTGAACCATCCCTGCCACCCTGGGATGAAACCTACTTGGTCATGGTGTATAACCTTCTTGATGATTTGCTGCATTGTTTGCCAGTAACTTATTGAGGATTGTGTCTATGTTCATTAAGGAGAATAGCCTATAGTTCTCTTTCTTGGCTGGATCCTTCTCTAGCTTTGGTATCAGGTAATGCTTGCTTCCAGGAATGAATGTGGGAGTACTGATTCCCTTCCAATTTCATTAAAGTGTTTGAGAAGTGGCAACAGTCTTCTCTAAATTTCTTGTAGAATTCAGCAGTGAATCCATCAAGGCCTGGGTTTTTCTGTGTTGGTAGGTTTTTAATTATATCTTCAATTTCACTGAGTGATATTGGTTTATTTGGTGTATATGCTGCAGAAGTGAGTACGATATTGGTTTATTTAGAATTTTTATATCTTGATTCAGTTTTGGTAATTCATATGTATCTAGGAATCTGTCCATTTCTTCTGTGTTTTCCATCTTATTAGAGTACAGGTTCTTGAACTAGGTATTGATGATCTGGATTTCTGCAAGATCTCTTGTGATTTCACCCTTTTCATTCCTAATTGCATGGGTTTGAGTATTTTTGATAAGGTTGGCTGTTTGTTAATTTTATTTAATCTTTCAAAGAACCAACTCTTCAATTCATTCTTTGTATTGTTTTCTTTGTCTCCACTGCATTAAATTTTGCTCTGATCTTTGTAATTTCCTCCCTCGTATGAGCTTTGGGTTTGACTTGGTCTTCTTCTTCTAGAAGCTGGAGGTTCAACATTAGGTTGTTTATTTGTGCTCATTCTGTTTTCCTTTTTTTTTTGAGACAGGGTCTCACTAGGCAGTTCAGGCTATCCTTAACTCTACGTAGTCCAGGCTGGCCTTGAACTCACAGTGATCCTGCCGCAGCCTCTTGAGTGCTGGGATTATAGGCGTGTTACCATACCCAGCATGCTCTGTTTTCTTGATATAGCAATTCACCTCTATAAATTTCCCTCATAGGACTTCACTGCGTCCTATAAGTTCCAGTATACGGTACTGGCATTACTGTGTAATTGTAGAAACTGTCTGATTTCTTCTTTAATTTCATCTGTGACCCATTGTTTGTTCAGGAGGGTGTTATTTTTCATGTGTTTATGAAGTTCTTGTGGTTTTTTTCTGTCATTGGTTTTCAATTTCATTGCACTATGGTCTGATAATATGCATGGGATAATTTCAATTCTTTTGCATTTACTTAAGCATGTTCTATGAGCTAGTTCTATGAGCTATGGGTCTATTTTGGAGAATCTCCCTTATGCAGCTGAAAAGAATTTTTATTTTGATGTTCTGGGGTAGAACACTGTGTAGACATCTACTAGATCCATTTGTTCAAAAGTCTGGTTCAGTTCTAATATTTCATGTTTGATTTTTTCAGTCTGTTTTTGAACTTAAAGGCTCATATCTTCCCACTCCAGCCTTCTAAGAGGCTAACAGAGGTGGTGAACCTATGGCACAGGTGTTATTCTTCTTGAGGACAACAGGTGTTAATATGAGTTCTTTTTTTTTTTGGTACTGGGGATTGAACTCGGGTCCTTGAGCTTGTGAGGCAGGTGGCAGAACCACTGAGCTAAATCCCCGGCCCCATGAGTTCTTTTTTCTATACTAAGACCTTCAGTATTCAGGGTGAATTGCAGCATTGGTAATTTGTGACAAATAAGTGGGGTTTAGGTTGCAATTTGGGCACTCGTGTCTAAAAGGTTCACCATCACTGGGCTAGGAACACAGGCCTACACCACTGTGCCTTGGCTAAATATATCAGCTAGAAATTTCAGGGTGAAGAAATTCCCTTTTATTCCTAGTTTGGTGGGAATTTTTACTGTCAATGGGTGCTGAAATTTGTTAAATAATTTTTACCTCTATTTAAATGAATGCACAGGTTTTTATCTTCATTCTGTTAATATATGAGGTAGACCAATTTTCAAATGTTGCACTCCTGAGATGAATTTAAGTCAGATATGTGTACAAAGAGGACAATACAAATGACAGGAGGGGCTGGGGATTTAGCTCAGTGGTTCCGGCGCCTGCCTCACAACTGCAAGGTCCCGAGTTTAATCCCCGGTACAGAAAAAAAAAAAAAATGACAGGAAACTTGACAAAAACCCATGAGAATTCTGAGTCACTAACATAACATGCCCCACTGCATTCTGCACCATCAGTATTATGCTAAGTCTTCCAGGTACTCACACGTCCATATGATGACCAGCACTCTGCAGCCCGTCACCCATTTCTTTTTCTATGGCACTCCACTCACTAGGGAAAAAAAGATAAAACCAGAAGCATCAGGGAACATTATGAAATGGAACTGTTTTTATTTTTCTCATACTGGACATGGAACCCAAGGGCCTTGCACAGGTTGAGCAAACCTACCAGCTGAGCTCCAACCTCAGCCCTTGGTATCTCATTTTGAAACAGGGTTGTACAGGCTGGCCTTGAACTTGTAATCATCTTGTGTTAGCCTCCTGAGTAGCTGGGATTACAGGCGTACAACAACATACTTGGCTAATAAATCTTTTTACAAAATTCTCCAGCTAGCTTTAAAAAATATTGTGTACATATTTTGATTTCTTGTGACTCAAGTATGCTGTTTTCCCCCTAAGTTTAACAACTAAACATAAGTGAAGGCTATAAAAATTGATAGCTGCTGCTAAATATAAGAGAGTACAGTAAGTCCCTGACATAAACATTTGAGTTGCAAACTTTCACAGAGGTCATGTCTAAGACTCACAGGTATATGGTGCAAGACAGACTCTGGCAGGTTACAAGCGAATCTGACTTACAAACGTTCTCCTGTAACGGTACTTGTTTGTTAGTTGGGGACTTACTGTGTATAAAATGGCTTCTGCTTATAGATTTAAAGTACTGATTCAGACCTTACTCTTGATCTACTTAATTATAATCTCTAGGCCATGTATGAGATATGATAAAAACATAGTGAATGTCTAAATTTTAAAAAATTATTGTAAAAGACACAATCCCTGTCAAAATCTTTCCCCCAGCTTTGAACACACACGCCATTGTTCTTGCCGCTTTCTGAGGAAGTGCCAGAAGTCTTCTTTTGTGAGTGCCTTCAGCCGCACTCTCAGGGCTGCTGCAACGTCCTCAATCGATTCAAAACAGTTACCTCTCACATTCACTTGGACCACGGGGAAGAGCCAGAAGTTGCATGGTGCCAGATCCAGTGAATATGGTGGATGAGGACACACTACTGCTTTTATGAGCCTGTCTTTCTGTTGGATGGCACCAGCATTCACCGTATTTTTGGTCACACATTGTAAAGACAAAAAAAAAGGACTTCCAGAATTGCTTCAAAAAGTGCCAAGAACGATGGGATAGTCAGGAGTGGTGGCCTGTAATCCCAGCTCTCTTGGAAGGCTGAGATAGGAGGATCACTGCAAGTTCAAGGCCAGCCTGAACTACATGGAGAGATCTTGTCTAAAAAATTCCCAGTGGGATAAGTATGTTCAAAGCCAGGGTATTTTGAGGGAATTAATGGCAATGTGTTTTTTACTGGAAGACCAGAGGGTCTCTCTGAAGTTTTCATTCATTCATTTCACACAGGGTCTTGCCATGTAGTTCAGGTTGGCCTTGAACTTGATATATAGCCCAGGCTGGATTTGAACTTGCAGTCCTCCTGCCTCAGCCTTCCAAGTGCTGAGATTAAGGGCGGGCACCATCATGCCCATCTTGAAGGATGAATTTAACATTACAGAGTAAACCATATTTTTATATTAAGTCATGGATACTCTATAGAATAAAATGTAAATTTTGCATGATTTGACAGAACCCAAGGGTTTGGAGAGATTCTGCTTTAGCCTCAGCTGCTTCCAGCCAATCCCAGTAGAGCTGGTGAGGAAGGCATAGGAGCTGTGCTGTGTGGATGTGACCCAGTCTGCCCACAACCACCCCAGGCAGACAGTTTCCAAGTGCTGTCACCAAGCGACCCCTTCACAGGACACAGGCTGCTGCGACTCATGCAGCTTCCTCCCTCTGCTCTGGGACAGGGCTGCACCTTCCTCTTCCTGTGCTCCTCCATCTACCCTCTAATCCTGCTCCCCTTTCCCTTCTCCCCTGCATGCTCTGCTCCCCTCCAACAACAACCACCTTCATCTTTCTCCTCTTCAGGACCTTCTTAAACAACTAACCACTAACTTACTATTTCTTTCTTCCCATTATGCTGTATTTTTAAAGTCAGCCCATATACTTTTACATATTCCTGTCCTAGTTATGAAAAGTTTATTTTACAATTCCAATAAGTTTCTCTTCATTAAAAATGTAATATAATCTTAATACTGTCCCAACTTGCATTTAATTTTAATGTATTGCTTGACTAAAGATAAGTGGATAAATTGAAATCTACAAAATCATAAAAGTGTAGAAAAAAATGAGAAAAGTTTTTTACTTTTATTTTTCGTAGTACTGGGTATTGAACCCAGGGTCTTTACACTGAGCTACATCTCCAGCTCTTTTACTGTTTTTTATTTTGAGATAGGGTCTCACTAAGTCCCTAAATTGCCCCTGCAGCGTTGGAACTTGCAATCTTTGTGCCTCAGCCTCCCAGAAAGCTAGGATGACAGGTAAATGCCACTATGACCAGCTGAGGAAGGTTTGTTTTTTTAAAATAATCCTAAATAAGGAAGGCCTAATTAAGATACACAAGCAACTCAGAGGCTATTATTTTTGAAAGGAGAAAAACTAGTCATTTCAAAGTAATTAAACTTAATAAACAGAGTATTTCTATATGTTAAGACCAACATAAAAAGAAGTCAAGACATATGACAAACTGGAAAAAAATACGTGCTCCTTTTCACAAAGACCTAATTAAAGATATATATGGACAGCTCATGAAAACGGGGGGGGGGGCTGTTAATCATAAGAAAAAGATATTTGAATTTATTCATAATTAGAGAAATTCAAATTACAACTACAATGAGAAACTTTTTCACCATCAGACTGGCAAAGATCTTTCTGCTCACACAGTTTGGTGCCAGGTGTGAGAAAACACATTCACACTTTGCTACTAGGAGTTTACCATTCTGTGTGCAGGGCGATTTGGTGACACCAATCAAAACTGCAAATGCAGCTATTCACAGATCTGGAATTGCACTTCACAGAATTTATGCTCTACACAGACTCATTCACTCTTAAACCAACATGTACAAGACTATTTACTGCAACATTCAATGCACAACAGAAAACTGGAAATACGTAATTATTAAAAGGACCCTGGTTAGGTGACAACACTTTTGTTCAACAGAACCCAATACAGTGATAGTTCTGTATCTTGGAGAGCAGTCCCCAGGTGGAAACCACAGCAGAGTAGTAAATGCATGTGCTGTCTTTCCATGTTCAAAATAAAAAAAAATGGGGGCTAGGGTGTAGCTCAGTACTTGCCCAGCATATGCAAGGCCTTGTGTCCAGTCCTCTGCACTACTAAAGAAAAAAGATGTTTGCATAATAATATATTCATTTCTAGTGTTACCTTCTACTAGTAGGGTGCACAAGATTGAAACTGGTATTGGTTGCCTCAGAGAGACCCTAAGGGGCCGGCAGACAGAGGTGAGGAGACTTCATTGTGTAAATTTTTATTCTTCTTGAATTTTATTCCATTTGAATCTATTACCTATACAAAAATGTAGCATGAGCTATATTTTAAAATTATTTCAATTTTAGGACATATACTGCAACATTTAGAGATATTTTCTTATAAAAATCTAGATAATAACTTCTAAAATGTCACAAACAATAACATAAGAACAAGCAAAAAAGAAAATTGTTCAAAAATAACCGAAATATTGGCTGGATGTGGTGGCATACAACTGAAATCCTAGCACTGGGGAGGCTGAGGTAAGAAGATTGAAAGTTCGAGGCCAGCCTGGGCTACATAGGAAGACCCTGCCAAATAAGTAAGTAAGGCTGGGGAGACAGTTCAGTGCACAGTCCTGAGCTTAATCCCTAGTATGGTGGGAGGGGACCAGAAGATGAGTGTAGGTTATATGCAGAAATACTTGTTTTCCCCATGTTGGGGATCAAAATTAGGGCCTCACAAATGCTGGACAACTGCTCTACCACTGAGCTACACTGGTTACAAAAATATTCTGATTACCATTAAAATTACTCCATGCCTGTAATCTCTGCTACTTACAAGGCTGAGGCAGGAGAATCAGAATCCCAAGTTGGGAGGCCAGCCTGGGCTAGTAAGTGAAATCCTGTCTCAAAATAAAAATGAAAAAGGGCTGGAGATGTAGCTCAGTGGCACCTACCATAGCACACACTGGGTTCAACTACTGAAAACAATGACGACAACAACAACTCCAAAACTGAAAAAAACTCATCTTGCAAAAGAAAAAAAGAGAAAATAATTAATTCTTTAAGACAGTGATTTCTAATGAATTTTCTTAGGCATTCTGCCATTTCAGTAAAAGTACCCACTTCTGCTTCAACGAGAGTAGTTTCACTTTTACGTACTCAATATGTTGAATTTCCTCAGTACTTTCTGATTAAAGAAAGGCTTTAAAATGAAAAGTAGCTATTTGAAAGCTTGAAAACTACTAATGAAAACATAATGTTCTAGGGCCAGGGATGTAGCTCAGTGGCACCGTGCTTGCCTGGCAAGCTCAAGTTCCTGAGTTCGATTCCTGGGGGGGGGGTTATGTTTTACCCTCCAGGCTCATGAATTTTCATGAGTTTCATAAATATTGTTTTAAAGCAAAAAAGCTAATTAATCTGTTTATATTACAATTCTGTATAACACTTACCTGAACACTCGCCCATAATTCCCATGTACTTTATATACTCCATAGAGTCGATCTGCTACTCTCTGAAATATTTAACAGAAGTTGCCGTTAGGTCAAAGTTATAGACAGATTACTTTAAAAAGTAATTTCATCCTCATTCAAAAAGAACAAGAACCTCCCAAACGCTTAGTACAACAGACTTGGAAAATACAAAAAAGAAAAAAAAATTCCCTAAAATCTCACTATACACACAAGAAATTGGCACTGTTCTACTATATTTATCTTATACTGATAATATTTTTATCCAGAAAATTAATGTTATCTTTAAATAAGTGCCACTTGAGCGGCCAGGGATTTAGCTCAGTGGTTTCGCTGCCTGCTGAGCAAGTGCAAGGACCTGAATTCGATCCCCAGTATCAAGAAAAAAAAAAAAAGACTTTCGCAAGCACAAGGACCCAAGTTCGATCCCCAGTACCAAAAACAAACAAACAAACAAACAAAAAAAGTACCACTTGAAACAGCTGCTAAAATTGCATGGAATTGTACATAAAATGTAGAAGCTATCTTTGTTGGAAAACTTTAATGAATATTTAGATGTCCCTATTTTTCAGTAATGTAATGTTGTACCCTTTTAAATTTTTTGAGACAGGGTCTCACTAAGTTGTTAAATCGCCCTGGTTGGGCTCAAACTTGCAGTCCTCCTGGAATGCTTAACAGAAATGCTTTACTGAAGTGGTTTTTACCATGAATCAAGCTTAGGAAACAATGATATAATAAAGCTTAACAGTCTTTTTCTTGAAAGATTTTTAGACCTTTAACAACAAATAAAAATAACTACTATTTAAGAGAGGATTTGCAGTAGGGAACATCTTACAGAACCAGCATTCCAGAGAATATATGATGGAAAAATGTCATTTTAGACCATTAGTTGTTCTGGACTAAAAAGTAAAAAAAGAATGATTAAAACCAGATTAATTCCATGGCTATTGGTAATTGAGAATAACAGCACCAGGGGAAGAGGCTACACCCAACAATGCAGTGCAGTCTGCTACTCAGGTCAGTTCTGTTGTGAAGGCTTTCTTTTGGAAAAGTGATCATCAGACAAATGACACCTAACAAATTCTGTAACATCAGAAGAAATCTGACAGCCTCATCCTATTAACCCTCCCAAACCTAGGCTGCCTTCTCTATTCGTACTGCACTAGTAGGTGACTGCATGTTGAAAAAGACAAACTTCTATGACATGCCATTACAAGACGCTGTTTTAACAATCTGGACACACAGCTTTCCTCCCCTTGATTCTATTAAGGAGTCAAAGGGTATGAGATTTAAGACTCCTGATACTTTCTGCCAAAATGGTTTCCAAAAGAGCTCTATGCATTTTTTTTTTTTGCATACTGGAAAGAGACTGAAACCAGGGCCTTTGCGTTGAGCTGTATCTTGAGTCTGGCCTTCCCCTTCTATTGTTTTTATTTTTTAGACACTGTCTCACTAAGTTGCCCAGGCTGGCATGAGTTTGCAATCCTCTGTCTCAGGGATTTCATGTCTGCACCATCACACCCAGCTTCTCCATTCTTTAGGTATCACTTAAATTTGTTACCTCTGCTTCATGGATTCTTAGTGTTTGTCTACACGGTTTCTCCAGCTCACCCCTCTATCTCTGAGATCCTGACAAATCTGTCTTTTCTTCCTAGCATGAAAGACTAAGAGGCTCTTAACACCTTGGGTTAGTCATATGACTGCTCAATGGTTTACCTCTGCCTCCTTGACCTCCAAACCTGTGACTGTCCTGTCCTTTTCTCTGGATGAAAGCCTTTCAGGGGGATACAACTTTCATAATCAGCCTAAGTTAAACAGATTCTCCAGGTTCTGTGGCACAGAGGACAAAGCAGTGTGAATTCTTGCAGTGTTCTTGGGGGAAGGGGTGGTGTCTCTGTCCTCTGCCCCACTTCCCACAAGAACTGCTGCTAATTTGTTTGGGTAATTTCAAGGCAACCAAAGGTATAGAAATTTTATCTCATTAATCCATCCTTTCCTATACCTTCTTGGTTCTAACCTGGTAATTCTCACATGTACCTTTTATTTTCCTAGAGAGAATTTTCTAATTTATTGAAAGAGACTACTGGGGTTTGGATGTAGTCTGTCCCCTAAGGGTGGAGGTGTTAGAAGCTTGGTCCTCAGAGTGCTGGTACCTTGAGGAGGTGGGGATCATGGGGAGCAATTAGGTCACTGGGACATGGCTTCAGGAAGGATTAATTAGATTCTCAAAGGAGCCCAGTAAGTTCCTGTGAGAGTGGGTTGTATGAAAAAACCAAAATGGGCCCCTCTCCAGTCTCCAGCTTCCTGGTTTGCCATGTGGTCTCTGCTTCTGACATGTGCTCCCATTATGAAGCGATTTGTCATTGTGACACAGGGGGCCCTTACCAGAAGCTGAACCTCCAAAACTGTGAGCTAAATAAACCTCTTTAGTTTACAGACACAAAGACATTCTGTTATTACAACAGAAAATAGAGTAATCAGGGCCTAAAGGTACTCTAAACAGTTTAACAGGAGATGGGCCAACATGAAGACCTTGGGAAGGATTTTCTTCTTTTAGTCTGTTTTTCTATACTGTTAGGAAAATCTTCAAACACATAAAAGATATAGGGAACAAAAGGATAAACCTCTATTTCTTACAGAGAATATGGGATACACCTCTACTTGCCAATGCCCAGCTTCAAGAATCATTACACAGTCAGCTGGTTGCATCCAAAGCTACCCTACTCCCCACCGGCTGACTCTTTCATATAACATTCCATTTCAAGAGGATTCCAGGCAGCACAAAATTCAATCTTACACTTGGTAACCCAGTCTCTTTCAATGCCTCTAGCAGAGTCAAGTTCCCTCTAGGTTGCCTGGAAGGACTGGAGTAGATGACACAACATTTCCAGGTACATTAATTTAAAGAAAAGTGTTGCTCTCCGTGTCTATTATAGTCAAACTATATGGCTAAGTAAAAAATGATTATTCCTCAATTTCCAGTTCCTTTTGGCAGACTATTACCTTAAATGAGTGCATTTAAGAACCCAGACACAGCATGGCCTAACATCCACAAACTATTACACAGACTTTAAAGAAAATCTGAAAGAGTAGGATATAACTACATGTAGATATAGACTCCTACACTTATTCACTGAAATGGCAATCCTTTGACAAGATGTCAAAACAAATATACGATTACAAACCATGGAGAAAACAATACCTTAAAACTCTTCGAGCTGTCTGTACAAAAAATTTTTCACATTTCTTTTTAGCACAGTTTGGATGATGGACATACCAAATCTGAATGTAAAAATCAGTTATTTATAATAAATACCACCTGTTACTTAAGTGTGGTTATTAAGTGACAAGCACCTTCCCTGACAATGTGCATGAAGAGCTCTGGGACCACTTACAGCTCGGACTCGAAGGAGATGGGAGATGACTGACTGCAGCTCATCACTGTAGTGCTTCAGTTCAGTAAATCTCCTGAAACAGCAAACAAACCAAACATTTTTCTCATGAAAACAATCAAAGATAAAATATAAAACAGCAGTTCCTGAGAATAAAACTGATTCTATTTAACCATATGCCAGCCTTGAACATTTACACAAATATAAATACAAAACATTCTAAAATAAAATGATTTTTTATATTTTGAAAGCTAAGAAAAGATGTCATACTTAATAATTTTACATTGTGGGCTTGAGACAGAAATAAAATTCATTAGTATGAAAAATTACTTTGAACAAAAATCAGGAAAAAATTTATGATGCTAAAACAATCTTATAGTGTAACCATAAATCGTGATCTCCAACATCAATCTTTATGCTTCTCAGCAATGTTTCCCTCAGCTTTTAACTGCCACTCTCCATACAGAACTGAACTTGTGACACATCACGTGGCCCTTCTAAACACCCAAGCTCCCCAGGGAAAACAAGCCATCGGAAGGGGATGACCCCCACTTTCCTCAATCTGTATTACTTCTTCCTTTTATCTAAGATCTCTTCCTATCCTGTGTTTAGATTTACATGCCATATTCCTGTTTTCTATCTCTACAAGCTCCTTCTGATGAACGTAACAGTTAACTCAGGTTTCTCCTAGATTACAATACACACATACTCCCTTGACCACACAGCCAACTGTGACCTCTCAACACCCACACCCCTTATACTGAAGCTTTCATCCGGTATTACCTCCCTAGAAATAACCACTTCCTTTCCCATTCACATCTTGGCCTGTTAGAATCTGGCGTTTGCCCCCAGTACTATAGTGGAGAAATGTTCCTGACAAAGTCACCAATTCTTTTCATGCTGCTAAAAGCCAGTGACAGATTTTAGTGACTTCTTATTCACTCCTGTTGGCAATGTAACAGCTGACATTATCTTCCTAAAAAATTTGTTCCTTTGACATCATTGCTATTTTCTTGTGGTTTTCTTTTATACTCTGGTCATTCCTAAAGTTTCTCTTGTAATACTCACTTCTTTTACTTAACTCTAACAACTAACTGTACTGTGGGAAGAAGTCCCGAAATGTTTGTTAAAAGTACAACTGAGAGGGCCGGGGATTTAGCTCAGTGGTTCCACTGCCTGCCTCGAAAGCAGAAGGACCCGAGTTCGATCCCTGGTACCAAAACAAAAACAAAAACAAAACAAACAAAAAAAACCCCAAGTAATTAAAAAATACAACTGAGAGACCTCATTAGGAAAAGGAGGTGAATAACCACAACTGGACAAAGGCCCTGCTAATACTCAGGGATCTGAATTTATAACAAGCTCGTCATATAATTCAGATGCTAATTCAGGTTACACTTTGGATGCTGGCATTCTTTAGAGATCAGGCCTAGGTTCTCAGCCATCTTCCCTCTATTTTTCAATCCACATATTCTTTTATATGATTTGTCATTTACAAACACAGTTATTATTGACATCCTACAGAATTATAGATTTCTACCTCCAGTTCAAATCTCTGTCCTAAAATCAGATCTATACTTGCTTTTTCATTTGTACTTGCTTATATATCCAAAGATTAACCTATCTCTCCCTCTGTCCCCAAATCTGTCTCCAATGCTCCCTAGACTGCTAAAGGGTAAAACCAAACTGTCATTTGTATTCCTTTCTTCTGTGTTTTACTGCATCCATCCTAGTAAACACCTAGTCTGTCAATTTTACCTCCTAAATATTGCCTGAGTCCACCTGCATTGCTCTGGACTCTGCCAATGGCCTCCATTCGATTAGCACCATTGCTTCTCACCTGGAATTCTTCTACTGTCTCTCACCTGGCCTCTCGGGCTGCTCCCACCCAACTCTAACCTACTATCCACTTGGCTTGGATGATCTTCCTAAAGTGCAAACCTACATAAGCAAGTGCTTAAGCAAGTTCTTTTCTGCCACTGACCCCAAGACAAAGTCCAAACTACTTCATGTAGCTTAAGCAGCTTTTTGCAGACCTTGCACATGCGAATAACTGTGGTTCATCTAAGAGGCAGATAGCAAAGTTGAGGGCATCGACCATACTGTTAGCACAAACATCTGACCTCTACCACTCTTACTCAAGGCAAGTTTCTGCAGCTAAAAGAGTAATGCAGGAATAAGAGGGCTGGAAAACGTGGCTTTCATCAAGTGGAGTGCAAATCCATGTCTGACATCCCCTCTTCACACTTCAAGATGAAAGGTAGAAAGTGTCCTCTTCAATTTTGCTTGTATTTATAGAATAAAACACTGAAGGTATAGAAACCTAAAAACTAATGAGGTGTTAAACTCTGGGGAGGGGGTAGGAATGGACAAACAGGACCTGGGGTGATAGTTTCCATTCTCTAAATATTCTGTACCTGTCAATCCACATACATATCTGGTTAACCATGAGAACATATTACCTAGTCAAACAATTTTTAAAGATATTTAAACAGAATTCAATTTTAAAAAGAAGTATAATATCTCACATAACTGTGAGCTGCTTTCTTTATGTGGAGCCAGTAGATTTGGGCTAGTATAATTTTCCTACAGAAGTTAAGGTTTCAATTTAAGTATCAAGAGCCAAAGAGTCCATTGAACTTTGTCAACCCTTGATCAGATCTTGTGCTTGGGCCCAGGAGACAGAAATTCTACACGATTAGGTCTCCATCTTCTCTAGACCTGATTGGATCCCTTTTATTTCCAGCTTCCCAAATGACAGGACTATAAAATTCTAAGCTGTCACATTGGGTTATGAAAAAACATTTATAACAATATAAACAGTTTAAGACTCAGAACACTTACATTAGGCAAAACAGAGCTTACTGGAGTTGAAAGGAAAGGTCCTAACATTTTGGGTCCCGATCTGCTTAACAGACTGGCACTTTCTTTTGAACAGTTGGCAAAGAAGAATGAACAGTATTCCCCAGTGAATCATGTCACAGGAAGTCAGGGCTAAAAGATCCTAAACACTTAAGGTGTTGTTGACATGGGTGAAAAACATGCATCTTTGGAAAAATCAGTTATTGGGAAATCAGAATACCTAAGGTAAAAATTGAAAAGTCCATCAAGCCTTAGATAAAAATGAGTATTTAATAAATGAAGGAAACAATTCTCCAGAAATGAGTCTAAGTTCTTTGTCAAGTCAAAATCTAGCAGTGCCTGCATATTAAAATGAGGATTCTCCCACTCTAAGTGATTAGGTATTCTTACAGAGATTAAAGACTATAAAGCACATATGATAATGTCAGAATGCTACAGCTGTACTGGAAAACAGGGAGTTAACAAAGAATCCAGATTAGTAAACAGTGTCTGAATGTCTAAGATCCCTGCTGTGAAGGATGTTAAGCAGATTCTAATAAGACTAAATTTGAGGGTGTCTATACCTAATATATCCTGTAGCCTCAACCAACCTTATTTTTTATTCTTCTCAAAACAGTCCCAATACCACCACAGGCTCTAAGCTTCCTTTTATTTTCCATATTCTACTTTTATTTGCTTGTAGTCATCTCCCCTCCGAAGGCTGGATAAGCACCACTCCTAATCAAATCTCATCCATTACTCAGGACCCATCAAGGTTTTTTCTGAATGTCTCTTCATCTCCAAGCTCAACTGCACGAGCACAAGTTGGAGACTGCTGTCTATTTCACACTGCTTTCATATAACCTTAAGTTTTCTCCATCTTACCATACTGAAAGTATTTCAAGCCACAGATTCTATTTCTTTATACCTTTTACAATCACGTTTACCTGAAATAAAGCTTAACATAAAAGGAACTCACTGAATTCTCAAAATCTCAGTGACTATGAGAAATAATAACTGTCAATCCATTCCCACGCTCCCCTTCCAATTTCTGCCCTTCCTGTTCCCACCTCCCCTCTTGTCTGTAGGGTTCTTCAGATGGTGTCTTGTCCTTGAAGAAGAAAATTCACTGTGTATATTTTTTCTCTCTTATCCATACTTCTTGCTTTCAAACTCAGCATAGGAAATTGATCTAACCTGAGGAAATTGTAATCTTAATTATCTGACTGCATGGCCTAAGAAAACTATGACTATATACATGATTTAACTGGTCATCCAGTTTTGTTTTGTTTTTTAAGTCAAGAAAAACTGGTAACTAAAGCCACAGTAAATGAAATTTCTATTGGGCAAAGTAGCATAGGACATGAAAAGTTAGTATTATTTATTTCTACAACTATAAATTTTAAAATGACTTATGTAAATATCATGTTACTTATATAATCTGGTTAGTTTGCAGTCTGTATTTTGTGTTAGTGGGTTTATTCATAAAACATATATGGAGTTCAATAAGCAGATATTAATAAGCCCTGGACACATTCTTTTAAGAAAAATAAACACTCAAGAGGCATTTCAGAGCTCCTAAGGCCACACACAAACAGAAGATTGCAGGTCCTCCTCCTCACTGCGGTCAGCAGTCAATGTGAGGAAAGATAAAAATGTACCAAGCAAGCCTCAGAAGAATTGTTTTAGTGATCTCTCTGAAACAATCGTTCTGGTTTTCTGGGTTTTAGGAAAGGATAAACAGTTTTACGATGTAAACTACTTTAATGATAATATGAATTATAACCTATTGGGCCAGCTATATCTAGAACAGAGATTTTATATCTTAATCAGTTATAACAACAACAATTATAGCCAGGTATGGTGCTGTGTGCCTGTAATCCTAATAATCTGGGAGGCTGAGACAGAAGGATCACAAGTTTGAGCCCAGCCTGGGCAACTTAGCAACTTAGTGAGAGCTTGTTTCAAAATTGAAAAAATAAAGAGGGCTAGGGATGTAGCTCTTTCAGTGTGAAGACCCTGGTTCAATCCCCAGTTGGGGAGGGTGGGGACGGGACAATTCTCTTAGCTACAACTTAAGGCAGAAAAATTTTATTACTATATACTTATTTGGCACTTTCACAAGACTGTAAGGGCAAAACTGCCTCGATAACATTATCTGGTCACATAATGTTTAAAATTTTACATATACTAAAGATAGTAAATAAAATTTAGCAATTTAGATAATCTTTTAAGATCAGAAAAGGGAAAAACATTCAGCTGACAAAATTTTTTATTAAACAGAAAAATAATGAACAATAAAGATTAATATTAAATAACAGATTAATAAAGATTAATATTAAAGTTCCAATTAAAACATTAGTACTCACATGATTCTCTAATGAATGTACATCCACCAAAGTCACAAACTTAAATTTTCCAAAGCTCTTTTTGAAGGTGACTTGTAATTTTAGTTCCTAATCTAGAGACAACCTATGTACCAGGCATGTCACTGTAACACGAAAACTTCAGTGCAACCTTATATGCACATTGCTAAATTAAAGAAGCCAAAGAGAAAGGCTACCTACTATATGATAGGATAGTGTAAAGAAGGAAACACCATGGAGACAGTAAGAAGACAAGTGGTTGCTAGGGCTGGGGGAACAGAGGGATGACCAGATGGAATGGGGGATTTTTAGGGCAGAGAAACCACTGTATGATACCGTAACAGGGACACACACCATTCCAAACACATCCAGTGGCCAAGAGTAATGGAAATGATGAGCATTACATAATTAAGTTGCGTCAAGTCAGGTTCAGTGATGGTAACAAACACACTCCCTGGTATGGGATGTGGACAGTGAGGAAAGCTGGGGGGGGGGGAGCTAAGAGTATATGGGAGCTCTATGCTTCCTGCTTAATTCTGCTGTGAACCTAAAACTGCTCTAAAGAACAGTCTATTCAAAAAAGAGGCAAAAAACAAGATTGAAAACTTCAATGGTTACCATCACAACTTCCTAATTAGCCACACTTAAAAATATTCTTTTATTTTTTATTCAAAAGCAGAGGCATTATAGGGTTAATATGCTATTGTTTATAAAGTCAAGTATAACAGGTTAACAAAATATGCAAACAGCCTTTGTTGAATAAGAATTTACACTCTGGAGAAATTAACACTGAAAGACCCACTAGAAAACTTGTAACATACATCATAAACTTGGCCCCTGAAAACAGAACAGCCTGGTCTAAGCACATTTCTAAATGAGAAACTCCCAGAGGTGAACCCAACGCCAGGTAAGGGACCACATAATGAAGAGCCTGGACTACCTGCCGATTTAGAGAAGGAATAACACCAATCTGTAAGAAATACCGAGGACTCGTCCTAAGAGTCATTTCTGAATCCACTGCAATGCTCCCTTTAAACACAGAACTGGCATTGCTGAGGTCAAGTATTTGTCATGTATCTCCATGGAGTTATTATGCTAAAATGCATTTTTCTAACAAGTTCTCTTGACACGCAAAGTAGATTATTAAGTATACATAATTGTTTTAAGCTCTGCATATTTGACAAGTCATATAAAGAAAACTATATGAAATGAAAATTTTCTCATTTTTGATACTTCCATAAAAAATCCTTCTAGAAAAAAAGTAATAGTTTAATTTTCTAAAACTTCAGTGATTTACAACCTTAAACCCAAATAAGTTACCAAATTTCAAAATGAGTTTTAGACTTTAAAAGGATTTCACTAAATATGAATTACTACTTAAAATATTTAGCAAATAAAGTGCATACATTCAGAAATGAAAAATTAAATAGATAGGCACCATTCAAAACAACATTGTAACTGTTATTAAAACAAAACCTTACTTGTCTGGGTTTTTCACTCTGAATGTTGCATTAAGCGCTTTTAACCTGGAGTCTGCCTGGAAAAAATAATTTGTTCACTTAATACAATTATATTTCAGGGTATAAAAATCAAACAGTTTTACTTTCCCTTTAGAATTAAGATGCTCAAGTACAGGTTTTTTCACATCAACTGTTGCAAACACATTAAACATACCTTAAAAATAGCTTAGTATTTTTGAGAACACTACACAAACATGTTATAAATTAGACTGCACACATGGCATTCAATGAGTCCAAAGTAAAACAACTGCAAACACTGACACCAGTGGGCACTTGGCTTTGAATTGTTGTAATTCAGAACAAGTCATATGGAAAAGTTGTTTACCTTTTCTCTAAGCCAAGAAAAGCAATGATCTGCATATATAAACAAAATTACTGCTTTCGATCCTATGCATTACTGAGGGTAGTTCTCAGAATCCAAACTAAATGTACTTTGTTTTTTCTCATTATCATAATCAATGTTCTAGAAAAAGATATGGAAATACCATATTAAAATACCATACTAAAAAATAAATTTTAAATATCATACTAAATAAAACAAGGTAGATGACATCAAATTACTTTCTAGCTAGCAGAAAATGTTATAAGACCATACGTCTTTTAAACATTTTATTTCTAGATAACTGCTCTCAAAGGAGAAACTGAACTGGGCATAGTGGTACAGGCATGTAATCCTATCACTCGTGAGGCTGATGCAGGAGGATTGCCACAAGTTTAAGGTCAGCCTGAATGAACTACATAACGAATTTTATCTAAAAAAAAAAAAAGGCAAAGGAGAAACAGAGGGATAGATAGTAAACAATAATTGTACTGCACGAGGTGCATACTTAACATATTTGAAGCCTAGCCTAAATACCCTAAAACAAGACAACCAAATAATTTTTCTGTCCAAGGTACAGGAAAAAAGCATTCCTCAAAAGAGGTAGCTCAACCAGACAACAATTTCAAAATGTAGTTTGGTTTCAAATACCTCTATCACCCTGAAAATTTTACGTACTTCCAATCCACAATTACAAGTAATCTAAATTAGCAAACAAAGCAAAGCAAAAATATTATTAGGGCCTCGCAGATTACTTGAGGTAGAAAATAACAACAAATGTAACAAACATGGTACTCTCCAGACTCAACCTCTTAGGACTCCAGACCCAGAGGGACTCAAAGAGCTATGTGAAGAACACGGACAGAAGCTTACGTTCTCTCTGATTTCATGGGATTCTTATTCTAAAGTTGGTATTTCATCAATTCTTGACCTTTCTTACATCTCAAGGACATATGAAAGTTTTTCAAATAAAAAGGCTCATGAATTTAAGGCCTATACCATATTAAACATCACTGAATACCAAAAGATCTCACAAATGTTCAAGTGTGGTTCTTTAAATATGAATGAAATTACATAAAAGGCATAAGCAAATTTTCATTTGTACCTTTTTTTCAAATCTCACGCTTTTTAATACCACTGTTATTTCTTACTTTTCACATCACCAGTTCACCAGTTTAGAAAACATTTAAATTCAAGATAACCATCTGAATCTTCGCTTACTAAATCGTCTCAGGTGAGATCCCTCACAGACCCAACTCCATCTTCTCATTATTTCACAAGATTCCATAAAAAGGGAAGCTGCCTAAACTGTCACCAACCAGAAGCTCCCTTCCAAGCTGACTCTGAGAAACTACCTGGGCTATTCCAAACCTGACAGGTTACCAACCACCTGATCATATTCTCCATTAAACACCTAAGGATGCCCCTAGCCCATCACTATTTCATACCTCCCTATTTTATTCCCTAAAGCAGGATTACCCGAAATCATCTTGTTTGGTTTCTTGGTTGTCTGCTATAGCATTAAGGGAGTTGCACAAGGCTTCTGTGGCAATACTTTACCTGCTTTATCTCCCCCAGACCTTGCCTACAAACTACTACCCAGCCCTTGCCTCTCCTCGGCCCTCGGGTGGCTCCACAGTAGGTTTCTTATCTTTTGGGTCTGAGATCAAATGTGAACTCTCCTGGGGAATGAGGATGTGGCTCAGCTTGCCAGGGCAGTGCTGGCCTGTGCTTCTGTCCTAGTGCTGTTAACAGTGCCCCCTTTTACTCTGGAAACGGATCCCATTTGGACACTCATCTTAAGTAAATGCCCCAAAATAATCCCTGCTGTCATGTTAGCAATGATGCTTTAGTTCCTTTATGCTACTTAGCACTATTATTTCACTTATTAGTACTTTAAAGTATTTTATTTAAATGTTAACATATCTAACCACTAACTTATAGGTTTCATAAGAACATGGACTTGATGAACTTTTCCTGCTTATTCACTACTGCATCAACAGCACTCAGAGCGCACCTCACACTGTGGCATCCAGCATTCGGAAGCTCCTGGGCAATCCAGAGCCTAGCATCGATGCTGAGGTCCCAGACCTTGGGTCCAGCTGCCCCTGCCCCAAGCAAAAGACAAGGCTCCAGAGCCTTCTGAACAGCCTCTATTTGTCTGAGGTATGGGCACATGGAATCAGGCTTACTTTCCTGAGGTCACTGAGTTAAAACAATGTCACTGTACTCTGTACAAAAACAAGGAGTCTATGTATCCATTGCTATAGGGAAAAACTCTTTGCTCTCTTTTCATTGAATTAAGTAGCATGAGTATGTGTATATATGTATGTGTATATATGTATGAGCGGCAATCATCAGCAATGATATAAAGATGGGTTGCTCAAGCTTAGGTTAAATAGAGCACTGATTGTAAAAAACTTAAATTTTATAATTATCTTGCTGATTTAAGAAAATGAAAGGATTTAAGAAAATATTAATGTAGGAGCTTGAGACATAGCTCAGTGGTAAAGCACTTACCCAACGTAGTTTAATCCCTAAAAGGATTTAAAAGGATTTAAGAAAATATTAATCTAGGAGCTTGAGGCATAGCTCAGTGGTACAGCACTTACCCAACATAGTTTAATCCCTAGCACCTAGGTTTGATCCCTAGCACCGGAAAAAATAAATAGACAAACAAATAAATAAATCCAGTAGGCCAAAAAACTACAGATTAAATTAAAAGTACCTGAAAGGAAAATTGAAGCAAGCTGACATTTCAATTTGTGGATGAGAACCAAGGAGCCAAGGTTAATTATTCTTATACAAATGTTCGGTGAGATTCAGAATGATCTCATTTTCACAAAAATACAGCTTTCAACACTTCCGTTACTAACCATCTTTGCATAATGAATAAGCAAAAAGAGACAGTAACATGGGATGTAATAGAAGGGCTTTAAGTCAAACAGAACATAGCTTAGATTTAGATTCTGTTACTTGGAAATATGCAACCCTGGGTAAGTCATTTTCTACAATTCCTCAACTAGAAAAATGGGAACACCAACTAACCTCAAAAAGAGTAAGGCAATATTCAGCAAAGTAAAATTCAGTATTGGACAGTACAGGACCTAGCACACAGTAAGCATATATGATGGTAATTATATTCAGTTAAGAAACTTACTGCTTTAGACTCTGAACAAGTGGGTTTTGTTTTTTTTTTTACCATTTTGGGCAAGCTTTCTAAAATTACCGGCTCGGGGCACAGCTGAGAGGTAGAGTGCGTGTCTTGCATGTGCAAGGAAGGCCCTGGGTTCAAAATAGACCTCTCCTTACCTTACAGGAATAGTGGTCGAGTTTTATGAAAAAGGGAATTAGCATGTCTGGGATGAAGCCTAGGATTCCGTATTTTGAAAAAACAATCCAACAACTGAGATGCAGCAGTCCACTGACCACACAATGAATAAAGAATACACCTCAAGCATAATTTCACTTTTCCCTGAGGCCACCAAGTAACCCTATATACAACTAATCCTGAACCTGTGTGTCACTCAGTGAGGCCTGGGGGCTAAATGAGGGTGTGTGAATTTGGCCTCAGGCCCAAAGCACCCTGAATGGGGTGTCTGACCCTCACTGCCCGCTGCCTCCTGCTCTGCCATGAGGCTCAGCTGACTCTGTCACTATTGTCACGTGTCCCTGTCTCCAGTGCTACTCAGCTTTAGGTCTTTTTAATTGCTAAAATATATTACAATCTAGAAAACTGACAGCCAAGTTTATCTGAATAATTTATGGAATTATGATTCCTATCTAAAAGGACCAAAATATTTCTCAAAGTAAAGAAGTCACGTTACCTCATTTGAATATCTCAGAAGTCAATTTTGCTTAACTCTCAGCTTTCGACTATGATCAGATTAGTTGGACTCACCAAATACATGACCTTGGGACAAATGACATATATATGTATGTATATGAGGTGACATCTACATTTATGTAAAATGGTCCAGGTCCCATTTCCTTGATGGAAGAAAGAACTTAAAACAAGAAACACTCATAACAAACTAAAGAACAGAGCAAGATACATGGGTTTCTGAATTATTTCCATATATTCTATATCTGGTCTACATCATTAATTATGAATACTATATATTAAGTATAGTATAAGTATATTATTAATACTATATATTAAGTATCACCTTTCAAATACCTCATAAAAATGAAACCCAAATAGGAAATATTGTATCTGTACACTTAAATAGCACCTGCACATAAAAGGCAAAGCACTTTGTAAGCAGTATACCATATTCTTTAATAATGGAGAAACTCAAGGGGCTGGGGATGTAGCTCAGTGGCGTCGCATGCACCTTGCAAGCGCAAGGTCCTGAGTTCGATCCCCAGGACTGGAAAAAGTAAAATAAAATAAAATAAATAATGGAGAAACTCAGGTGGTAAAAGTCACCAAAGTTATTGCCAAAAGCAGGGTTCAAGGACAAAGCACAGATAATTGATTAATGACCATATTAATGATTAATTTTTTAAAACTTTGTATTATATAAGACAATTTACCAAGAATTTAGTCTTATCTTTTTATTAGCTTCTAACATACCTTGAACTATTTCTCAGAATACCCTATCAAAATATGAATCATTTAACGTTTCAAGTTACTTCAAATACATTCCTAAACTAAAACTCCACTTTTCTCCAAAGAATTATAATCAAGAAAATTCTTATTTTTTTCATATATATTTACCAACAAAATACTTATATTATCAATGCATAAAGCTCTAGGATGTTTTCTTAAAATTACTGTACACATTCTATTCTTCGTGCCTAGATGTATTGTACAGAACTTTTGGTAATGTATAATCATTTGAATGATTTATCAATTTATGTAATACACAGGTTGAGTATCTCTTATCTGGAATGCTTAGGAGCAAAAGTGCTTCCGTTTCCAGAGGTTTTTTTTGAATTTTGGAATATTTTCATAGGCTCTGCCTACTGAGCATCCCTCACCTGAAAATCAAAATCCAAAATACACCTAAATGCAAATTTTTTGAGCAATGCTGCTCAAAAAGTTTTTAAAAGTTTTGAGTTTTAAAGCATTTAGGATTTCAGAGTATTTTAAATTTCAAATTGTGAATGCTCAGCTTGTGTTATATAAATTTATATTATATTTGTCTGCCAATTTAGTTTATGCCAGAGATGAAAATTCAAAAAGTTTTCAATGACCCATGTTAAATTTCTTTTGGGAAAGATCTGGAGAGGACAATGAACAAGGCAGCCATCTAACCACCACCATGCTGCTCAGTTTCCAGACAGCAACCTCACTCCCACACTAATTGTATTGATGGAATTTGAAAAGTTGTACAAGAACTAAGTAACTAACTGATGCTATTTCAAAATGAGCCCTGACCACCATGTCCCAACAGAGAGGAGTGTGATGAAAAACTCATCTACTAATGCAGGCAAACCCAAGCCTGAGTCTTCAGTGTCTTTCATTTCTGCCAGAGTAAGCAACTGTGAGTGTGAGGAGGCAGGGAGCAAGTGAAATGGTCAGGACAGTGGGCAGAAAAGGGTAGATGTCAAAGTATCCATTCACTGTGGGAAAAATCTACTGCCTGTATTTAAATTAATGCTTCAAAATGCTCTTTCTTAGAATTAAATGAATAAATCTGCTTACTGTAGTCCAACCATAATTACACAAATCAAAAGTGAATTGCAGTGTTTCTTTGAAAACCTTTCCAGGATATTATATGCAAAGCTGATTTCCAACATTCACTCATTCAAAAAATACCAAGTAGCCAAATGTGCGCGGCACTGAGCATGCCAAATTACTTCACACAAATATTCTTACCTTCAGCTGAAATCCAGTTTCATTCACAGTCTCCTTCCAGTTACCTTCCTAAAAATTAATATTAGAAATCATTACTGCAAAGTAAAACAACCCACCAGAAATATTTCAAATTATTTAACTGAATACCTATGACTGTGTTCTAACTTCAAGGGAGATGAGGGAGAGATATTTTAAAAAATTCTTTTCACTTCAAAATTTAAATGTACAATCTAGATTCCAAATGATTAACAAAACGTGGACCTATAATTTTAGAAATTTGGGCTTCAAAAAATTGAAGACTAAGTCTGACATAATTTAAGTGCTATTAAAAATATTGTCTTTATTATCTTTAAGTAAAAAAATGTTAGCCAAAAGCCAGATGCAGAGGCGCACACCTGTCATCCTAGCACTCTGCGAGGCTGAGGCATCAGAGTCCCAAATTCAAACCCAGCCCGGGCAATTTAGTGAGACTCTGTCTCAAAATAAAAAACAAAGACTGCATTGGGGATATAGATTAGGCTGAAGGCTCTGGATTCAATCCCCAGTAACACAGACACACAGACACACAGACACACACACACACACACACACAGTTAGCCAGAAGACTAATGTAAACCAATAATTTGAAATTCAAATCCAAATCAAACCAAACACAATAAATTGTATATAAAAAGCAGCTCCACAAAGATCCTTAAGAATAGGCACGCTACAGTTAAAAAGACAGAAAAGAATGCAAGTCAAATGAATATTTTACATATTAAAAGAAAAATACCTGCGTTAAAAACAAATAGAAGATTTTGTCTCTACAAAGGGTGGGATGTGAAGCAACTCTCAAGAGAAAGTTTTCTAAACCAATCCGTCGTCTTTCTACAAAATCAGGATCCATGTTGTCAGCAGAGAGTTTATGCCAAACGAATTCTGCCTAGGTAACAAAACAAGCATTATGAGTGGTCTCAATGCCAAATACTTCTGACCTACTGCCATTTCACTTCTTACCCGTTTTTCTGGTAGAGGTGGCACAACAATATGTGGATAGCAAACCAAAAGGTAGTTTCTCAACAACTCAAACTCACTGTATCGCCTCCACAGTGAGTCTGTGAGGACACTCTGACCATCGGCATGTTCAACTGACCTGAAAAGGAACCAAAGAACATTTATAGTATTTTAAAAAATGTACACCTCTATTTACTGAATTTGTACAAACCAGATACTGAGTAAAGACCTCTCCAGTATTTTCCTACTTGCTCCTTACAACCCTGTGAAGCAGGGCCTTGCTATTCCCATTTTATGGATGAGGAAGCTGATAGTACTTGCTCCAGATCTGTAGGTAGAGTGCTCAGATCCAACTGGTTCCAAACACTCATACCTAGTTTCCTTTGTTTAAAATAAACCTATCTGAACTCAAGAGAAATTGTTGTATGATGAACAATAAGATGGTATGATTTAATAAGATGGTAAAATCTGGTGTAGTTAGGGTTTTATTCAATAAAAAGGTGTGCTTTGTGCTTGGTTTTGTTTGTGTTGTTTGAGACAGGGTTTCACTACATTGCCAAGGCTGCGCTTGAACTTGTGGGCTCAAGGGATCTGCCCACCTCCCTCTGTGGAGTGCTACAGGTGCGCACACTGCACCTGGCTCAGTAAAATCTACTTTTCACTTTATTTCTGCCACAGTGAAAGAATAACATTCACAGTAAGACAAGGACACCACACTCCAGGTCGTAAAGAAACCAAATGAATCCAAAACCCATCTGAAAAACTAAGGAAGACAGGTCATAAAAATATCTAAACTGGGTGTGGTGGCATGTGCCTATAATCCCAGCACTCCGGGAGCCTGAGGCAGGAGGATGCAGAGTTCAAGCTAGCCCAGGAAACTTAGCAACTTAGTGAGATGCTGTGTTTCAAAATAAAAAATTGGTTGGGGATACAGTTCAGCACCACAAAACAAACACATGCCCAAAATCTTTAATTACAAGGTATGATTAAAAAAAACGGTAAATGTTTAAATTTTTAATTTACTTTTTCTTTTTGAGACAGTCTTGCTATTTAGTTCAGGCTGGCCTTGAACTCACTATGTAGCCCAGTCTGGCCTCAAACTAGCTGCAATCCTCCTGCCTCAACCTCCCGAGTGCTGGGATTATAGGTGTGCACCACCACACCTGGCTTAAATTTTTTTTAAAAATGTTATTACAATAAAAGATATATTGCCACTATTATCCCTTACATACTCCCCCTTGCTTGATATATACTTATTCCATTGCTCTTGCCACTTTCTGAAGCAGTTCGGGAAGTCCTCTTTTGTGAGGGTTTTTTGTGTGCCTGAGGATTTTCAGTTGTGCTGCTGTGGCTGCCTCAATGTTCCAAATCAATTCAAAATGTTTATTTTTTGTTGTAATTTCACTTTGGGGAAGAGTCATAAGTCACATGGGGTCAGATCCTCTGAATATGGTTGGATGAGAACATACTGTAATGTTTTTACCAGCCTGCCTTTCCACTGGATGGCTCTGTGTAGCAGCATTCACTGCACTTTTGATCATGCCACATGAAAACACTCATGAAAGAAGGCTGCTAGAACTGCTTCAGAAAGTAACAAGAATGGTGGGATAAATGTGTCTGAAGCAAGGGGGAGTATTCTGAGGATTAATGGTAATGTGTCTTTTACTGTAATACATTTAAAAATTTTTAGCATTCACAATATATTGTGATCATGAGCTGCCAGGCAATAACAGGTCTTGTCTATCTAAAAGTTCAATTTATAGTTGGGAGAAAGGGTTAAAATCATACAAAGGAGATTTGAAAGTACTTTAATTACTTAAGATTTCTGCTGTATAAGCAACACTAGACAGCACTAATCATTTATACTTTATCAAGACCTTTTTATTTTCTAATTATTTGCTTGACAAGAACTTAGCTGTCCTCCAAGAAATGCACACACAACTATAATGTGCACTTGTATATTAGTACATAAAGACAGAGAAGCTAAATCAGTCTTGGAATAAAGTCAAATGTGAGGAAATGTTTACATTATGCCATGCTAAGCACAACAGTTACTTCGTTTTTGTTTTTGTTTTTGTTTTTTGAGACTGGCTCTCCGTGTTGCCCAGATTGGCCTCAAACTACTAGACGCAAGTAAACTTCTCGCCTCAGCCTCCCAAGTAGCTAGGATCACAGTATCTACCACCATGCCCCTCTCCTCAGACTTCTTTTAAGAGTTAATTTCCTATGAAGAGGCACACGTAGAAAACCTCTCAAGGAATTAAAAACCAGCAACTTTAGCCTTGCTCAGTCTCAGTCTGTTAAACTATGATCTACAGACCAAGCAGAGAGAGCTTTCCATCTGGCCGTAACCCTCACTCTCACTCCCTACCTGGTTTCAATGAGGTAAGCAGTGTATGTTTCTTGCATGTTCACTGCGTTTCTTCCAGTTCTCTTTTCTGCTTCAGAAACACTGATTTCTATCTTCTTCAACCAAAAATTATTTTCTGTCATCTGGATAAAAACAAATGAGACAACAACAAAAAAACTCTTTAAGACGGTATTGAAAAAACCCACAGTTATTTTCATAAAACCCATTATCGGTACATATTTCAGACAGTTTCTTGTACTTCTTGAGTTGTTAGGGGTTACTAAGTGACAGCAGCAAATGACAGCCTGTCTTTATCAACATATAGCATAGGAACTTTTCCAGAGTTATACTAACAGGTATTGCACATTTATTTTTCTAAACTTAGACATTTCATGTAAGTCACCAAGAATAAGTAATACAGGGGAAAAAAAACCCTTGAGGACATATTATATGTAAAGGATTCTGGGAGGCACAAAGAGGAGGTGACAATGGCCGCTGCACTCCCACCCCCATAAATATAAGCTCCCTCTCTTCCTGGAACTTCTGTGGAATATGAAGGGCCAGCACCTCCCAATGCACACACATCCCTTCATTTTTCTATTTGCTCACTCCTGCAAGCCAGATACAAAAACGTAGAAATTCAAAAGTAACTGGATATATGAGGAAGGTTAGAAAATGACCACACACATCCAGGGAAAGGCTCAAGCTAAGGAAAGACCCAGCTTGATCTTTGGCTCAGAGAGCATCCAGAAATTTTTTTTAAAAACCCAAATACTAACAAACTCTGGGAAGGAGGAGAATCTGATTTCCAGAGTTACCACATTATTAGATTCAAATGTCCAGTTTTCAACAAAAAAATTCAAAAGGTGTGTGAAGAATAGGAAAGTATGGCCTATAAAAAATAAACCAACAGAGTAGCAGCAATTACAGGCATGGGCCACTGTGCCTGGCAAAAGCAGTTTTTTGATGAGATATGTCACCTGTGTTCACAGCAGCATTATTCTCAATGGGCAAAATGTGGAAGCCACCCAGGTGTCCATTAACAGATGGATTAAAAATGTGATAGTGAGATAAGGGATTAGGGCGATGCCAGGCTAGCTGGAAGACAGGATATAACCCATCAATTACGAAGATCTGGACTGGGGCTGAGAACAGGCTGTGCCTATGTAACCTGATCCAGAACGGATGTGATCTGTAATTACGGCCAGGATCCTCAGGTAGAACAACGTCCAAGAGACTGGATCTGAAGGATATACAAGACAGTGGCCACGGACTTTGCCACCTCTGCTGAGACCTTGCGGTGCTGCTGTCCTGTTCCTGCAGTGGGCCGTCCTGATTAAAGGATGTATCTCTCCTTGCTCTTTCCTTTTCCTTCATTATTTCTTTTCTTCCTTTTTTTCTCTTTTCATCACCTTTTCCTTTTTCTTGTTTTACATTAAATAAAAGTTGTGTTTAACTGTTCCTCAGTTGTCTCATCTTTGGGCAGGACAGAAAGAGCCTACAATCATCGGACACTGTGGTATCCAGCAACAACAGGGGTTCTGGGGATGTGGCTCAGTGGGAGAATGAATGCTTAGCATGCACAGTGCCCTGGGTTCAAGTCTTAGGGAAATACACACATATACACAGTACTGTACACAAACAAGGGACTGTGATTCAGCCTTTAAAAGTTACAAAATTCTGACACACACAACATGGATGAAACGTGAAAGTACGTTAACTGACACAGACTAGACAAAAATTTACAACTATTATAGAAGTCCATGTACATGAAGTGCTTAGAATAGTCAAAAAGCATAGCGACAGAACACAGAGTGGTGGTTGCCAGAGGCTGGGGAGGGGAAAACGGGTAACTACTATACAGAGCTTTGATTTTGCTAAACAGAGTTCTGGAGGTTGGCTGCACAACAATGTGAAAATAGTACTTACTAGAACCAAGGTATACATTTAAAAATGGTTTAGATGACAATGTATATTTTAACACAATTTTTAAACGGAGGGAAAAACTCTTCATTATACTAAGATTAATGATTCTCAATATTGCTAATTTTTTATTTAACTATAATCAAATCACTCTCTCAAAACTAAACTATTTTAAGTAAAAGGCAGTATTTTCGGCAAGTAGGTCAACAACAACAACAAAAACAAAAACAGATGGGTGTGGTGGTTCATGTCAACAATCCCAGTACACAGGGAGGCAGTTGATGGCCAGACTGGGTAACTTAAGAGACTGAGCAAGATCGTGTTTCAAAATAAAAATAAAAAAAAAAATAAAAAAAAAAAATTTAAAAAGGACTGGAGATGCTGCTCAGTGTGAAGGTTATGGGTTTAATCCCCAGTACAGCAAAAGTAAAATAAAATTAAAAAAGGAGTCATTTATATTCACTTTGTTTACCTAAATGTGGGGCATGATTAACAAGGTTTCCAAGCAAAAGCAGGAGCAGACTCCTTTTTCCTCTAGAGGACATCCCCAGGTCTGTGACAAAGGACCCAGAGGAACAGTGAACACTGCTGAGACCATGTGTTGGGGGAATGCATTCAGAATAACTCCAAGTCTAACAAGGAGGAAGTGAAGCCACTGCTAACTGCTGTGCTTTACTGCCCTTCTCCCTTGATCACGGTTAAAATTCAGAGGTGGATTTTAATTAAAAACACTGCAAACTTCCGGGCCTGGAGGAGCACACCTGGAGACTGAGCCAGGATGACTGCAAGTTCAAGGTCAGCCTGGACAACTTAGTAAGATGCTGTCATAAAACAAAAAATAAAGTAAAATGGGGGCTAAGGATGAAGCTCAACACTATGGTACCTACCTACCATGCACTAGACCCTAGGTTCAATATCCAGTACTGGAAAAAAATGTCCATAATTCAGGGCAATTTATGAAGGAGAGATTAAGTAGAAATGTGAGTACAGCACAAGTTTAGAAAAAAAAAAACAAAAACCAGACACAATAAAACCCATAGTTATACACAGAAAATTAACTTACACACTATGAGGTTTTAAAGAACTATGTAAAAATATTTTTAAAAATGGAATCAGAGATTATAGAAAAGATGATGCACTTAGGAAGCTCTCCAAAAATGTACAGGAAAGCTGGGTGTTGTAGCACACACCTATAATCCCAGCACTTGTGAGGCTAGAGCAGAGGATCGCTATGAGCTCGAGGCCAACCTGGACTACACACCAAGATCCTGTCTTAAAAAAAAGAGAGATGTATAGGAAAACCTGGGCATGACAGTGTGTGCTCATAATCCCAGCACCCTGGGAAGCTAAGGCAGGAGGAATGCAAGTTTAAGTCCAGCCTGGGCAACTTGGCAAGACCCTGTCTCAAAAATAAAAAAGGGCTGGGGATGTAGCTCAGTGGGTTCAACTCCCAGAACAACAAAAAAAGTACAGAAAAAGTGCACAAGGTAAAAATGCTAAAAGGTAAAGAAAAAGATAACTAAGAGTCAATTCAGTGGAATAAAATTATTAGCCCCTCCAAAAATCACTAAATAAAATAAAGCATTTTTAGAGTATGAGCTGTATGTTTATGTATTAAAAGAGAAATTAAGAGAGAGGAGGAAATCATTTAACAAAAAGAAAGCTCAAGGCATTACATAAACACAAACCACTCAATACCAGGATTATAAAACTGCTAGCAGTTGAGATATCCATATACTATACCTTTTGGTCCACAGCCAAGCATTCTGACTTACCACCATCTGCTTCAGTGAAAAGTCTCTGAATTCTGATGGCACATACTATACTAAGAAAACAAATTCTCTCCTCATCCAAAAAGACAACACATGAGTCATACATTTAACCTATAATTCAAATAAAGAAATAAAGAAAATAGGGCTGGGGATTTAGCTCAGTGGTTCCAGCGCCTGCTTTGCAAGAGCAAGGTCCTGAGTTTGATCCCCATTCCCGGGACCAAAAAAAAAAAAAAGAAAAAGAAATAAAGAAAATAATAAAAGCATAAAATCAACTATCATAAAAATTAAAGAATAAGCTACATATGGTGGCACACGACTGTAACACCAGTACTCCTGGAAGCTGAGGAGGAAGAATCTAAGTTCAAAGCCAGCTGGGCAACTCAGCAAGACCCTGTCTCAAAATAAAAAATTTTGAAAAGGGCTGTGGATATAGCTCAGTGGGGAGGCTCTGGGTTCTGATATGTAATCGGTGATGACCCAGCCTCAATTTAGGGGTTCCAGGAAGGACTTCTTGGAGTAACTCCAAAGGAGTCCAAGTCCAGTTTATTGAGCTGGGTCTTTTATGGGTAGGGTAGGGGGTTAGTGGGACAGGCTCAGGTGGAGTGTAAGAATAGGGCCACTGATACTGTGACCCCAGGAGGTGGGGTAGGTTTGTGGTGTGTTAGCACAGTGGATGGCTGGGGGAGGGAAAGGGGGGGAGGGCTGGTGGGGCTTACATGTAATAGGTTCAATCCCTAGTACTTCAATTAAAAAACCAAAAAAACAAAAACGAAAAAAACAGGAGCTGGGGATTCAGCTCAGTGGCGCCGCACCTGCCTCGAAAGTGCAAGGTCCTAAGTTCAATGCCTGATACTGGAAAAAAAAAAAACCAACCAAAGAATGAATACAGGCACACAGCAATACTAGCAGGGTTGGGAGATGATAAACTGTTTATCCTGTCAATATTAACACAGAACAGTGGCAAGATTAATACAACTGATACTGTATTTATTACAGAACACACTCAACAGATGTAGGGCCATGGCTTGATGACTAGCTGATGACCCCAAAGATAGGTTTTAAAGAAAGATACAAAATTCTAGTTGTATTCAAAATGTACTTCTCATCAGACTAAAAAATATCAAAGAAAGAATGATGCTATACTCATATCCAAAGGAATAATGCTCCCACAACAGAAACTCAAAATCACTGCTCTCTACTTAAGACAAAATAACTACGCAAGACCACATAAGAACAGGACATATCGGAAAGGCTGAGAGAATATTCTATTTCCAATTCAACAAGTGAAAATGAATATAATCTGTTTTAAGTGTTCCAAATGTTGTAAACAGTGAAGATAATAAAAGTAAGCATAAAGTAATGTGTTAGCTTTCTAGCAGTGACAAAATACCTGAGAAAATCATCTTATATGGAGGAAAGGTTTATCCCGGCTCACAGTTTCAGTC